TCTGCACAATAAGCTCTTTTTCACGAGTGTGGAATAAGTTCGCTGAAGCCCACGAGCACTGGCTATATCCGCCGCGTTTAATTGTCACATTTAAGAAGTTTGTGAAACCCATTCTGGAATTTAGCAACCAATTCACCTCACAGTAGTCACAGACATTCACAATTGCTACGAAGATTGTAAAGCGCTCACTTACAAAATCTTCAATCGCGCCGTTGTTTGCACCACCATATTTGTCCTTTGTTCGTCGCCTAGGCTCGACCCCATTTGGCTGAGGTATATCATGCCAAACTTAGACATTACGCATCGCCTGATCTGCCAACAGCCTGGCATTGCTGACTCAGTCCCAGAGTTACCCAAATGCCCTCCGTACAATATCCGCTGCTTCTTTCGGACGATTTGTTCGCGAGACTGAAAAGAGGTAGGTGTTCCGCGAAGACTGACTTAGCTGATGCTTAGCTCCAGGCTATGGTCGACGAAGAATCCCGAGATGTTCTGGCAACCATTACGCGCCGCGGCCTGTTCCAGGATACCCAATTGCCATTAGGTTTCAAAACAGCGCAAGCCATATTTTAACAGATCATAGACATTGTGCTGAAATGTCCTGGGCGTTGCTGCTTATTCGTGCAACCTCATCTTCGTGGGCTATAACCTTGACGAGTTGAGGCAAAGCCTTGATCGCGTGCGTCGAGGAATGTACATCTTCTTCATGCGGTCAGTGAAGTACTTTTGTTTCGTTATTGACGAAAATGGCCGCCGACCAGACCCAGTGAACACTGACGCTGTCAAACGTATGCCAACACCCGCAGGCTTGACGTATCTTAGGTCTTTCCTTGGTCTCGACAGTACTGCAGGCTGTTTCTCTCTGCCATGCATCGCCTCCCAGGTCCACTAAACCAGCTCCTTATCAAAAGCCACAAGTGGACATGGTCAGAAGAATGCCAACGTGCGTCTGACACCGTCGAATCGATGCTTAGTTCCGATTTGCTACTAACTTACTAAGATCCATCTCCGGAAGTCGTTGTAGCGTAGGATGCCTCAAATTATGGAGTTGTTGGAGTGATTTCACATGTATTTCCCAACAGAAGCCAAAAATCCATGCATATCTTAGTTAGATCTTTTGCCGGAACAGCCAGTTTATCCTTGCTGTCTTTCCAGGTCCAATGTCATTTCACAATAACTGACGAAGTAAATTTATTTCCTGTCTACTATTTGGCAGCAAGACAGGCTGACACTAGTTTCACTTGGCCACATGGTCCTCAGTCTGTAGCTGAAGTTTTCTAGAGAGCTTCTGTTTGAATTATTTTGTACTCCCGGTTTTGAAAGCAACTAAACTTCCTTCAGTGAGAGCAAATGACACTTGATGATGTTACATTGTTTGCCTTGTTAAAGTCTTCCGCATCCAGCCTCAGATCTCACTTCGAAAAAGCAACGGTTTTCATCTTTAATTCAGATGACCTGCTGGCTTACCCGAAAGTCGTTTAGTACGTGCTCGAAAGATCTGGGCCAGTCTTGTTGCTTTATCCTGAAGGTCACTTTGGGTTTCTGTTAATCAAGTGGCGCCGTCTTTCGTTCCTGCTCGTCACCCTCCTTGAACTTTTCTCAAACCTTTTCTCTACCTCCAGCACCATGCTGAATGTGAGCACCGTGTTAGGTCTGTCCAACAGAATTCGGCCACAGTAGGCACTTCATTTTGACGCTTGGTTCGTTGGTCTCCAGTTTGTACGTTTTCCGAAACCGACTAGTGGAAGTATGATTTCTGGTCACTCCGGCATCCATCATGAATGTACAGACTGAACTAACATCACAAAGTTGTAAAAGATGGTCGTTTTAAGTGGCCAAGGGAATCTGTCCCATCACCCACATATCCGCATACAGATCCAGAGAATCGGCTCGCACGATTCATCCTGAAACGCGCGTGAACCTAAGCTCTAAACTCAGACTGAGAGTAGAACTTCATCGACTTAGCCTCTGTATCAATTAGTGGGGTGATTCATCCAAATGCTAAGCTTCGAAATTGGGATTCCTCGAATTAATTCGACGTTCGATTTCAGGTTGCACACTGGAAGACGAGTCAGCTGACGTTTGGCCGGAAGGCATGTGAAAGTCCCGGAATCTGAGGATCTGATTGGGCGGGCTACACGCATTACGTATTCAGTTGGGTGTAGGAACAGGCGGATAAGGACGGTGGATGGCAAATTTAGCACTGTTACGAACCGGTTCTATGGACAAACTGGTCAATAAGCATCGTGAATTAAGGAAAACGTACAATCGATATTAACGCATTTGGCAGGAGCAGGAAAATGGTCAGTAAGGCAGCAGAGCTTTCTGGATGCGATGGCAGGTAAGCACCAAATGGTGTACAGACGTACAGATACGGGCATTTAGACAGTGCAAACTGGCCGTATACAGAGATAACGGCGCAGAAAACAATGAGTTCATTCGGGAGGTGAAGAACTGTCTTTGGCTGACGGCGCGATGCAGCAGCCTATGTCACGTGTCATATCAGATTGCGCGCGTAGGTCTGTTTAGAACAAGCCACATCAATGGCTATCTGGCTCATGCGGTATAAAGGTAATAGAAAAATAGCAGCCCCTTGAACGTGGAGCCGGTGTAGCCGAAAACACACTCGTCTACCAACCGTCAAAGCAGACACTTGAAGATAGGTAGAGTTGACGAATTTCCAGGCGGAGACGAACAGGAAATAAGATCCAGACATTAGTTACTAGCAGATCTTAGGCAGGAGCGAAACCCGACAAACAAGCAGCGCAGAAACGAGACTGAGTTTTAATAAACGGGCGTGAATAAAGCTAGTCAAGAGTAGCCAGAAAAGAAAAAGAAATAACCTCTGACCACCGCTGATTCACAGAAAGTTTTGGGCTTCCCTGGTCCTTGTCCGGTAATTCAGTCTGCACTAAGATAAAGCTTGTCTATGTATACACGTCTTGAACGCACGGATTTCCATTCCACCATCCTCTGCTCATACTTCATGGCAAAGCACTTCTTATGCGTGCCAAGCTTCAGTAGTTCTTCGCACAAATTTGCTCATTTCAACACTGAACAAGAATTTTTAACTACATCGTTCATGAACCAATACGAGGATTGATGATCCCCCGCCGTCACATGGAAATGCCACAAAATCAAGCGATAGCGAAAGTGACGCCGTCACCTAAGCTGAAGCCCATCATCCGTTGGGTGTGAATCCTACGGAAAGATTGACCTGTGACCGCCCGAAGCTGCTATGAGGCGGATATTGGTAACGAGATTATTCCCGATGCTTCATCTCAAAGTGGTTCAGTTTCTAACCGACACGAAAACATGTCACAGAAACACCACCATGGACACCTACCTGGTGATAAATAACTCCGTTAATATATGAAGCACATACTCAAGTTTGCCCGTGGACTTGGTTAAAACGTCCTGCCGCAAAAATTAACCCAGGTGTCGCAACATTTCGGTGCCTAGCTGGCTTAGCTGGCGCCACCCAAAGAAAGCATGGGGCTTGGATTCCATCAAACCAAACCAAACCTAGACTGGACCACTCGGGATGGAGATGCCAGGATCGAACCTGGAACCTTCCGGTCAGCATTTTGCGCCTTAACCACTGAGCTGGCTCGAGCTGTTGACGCAAATTATGGGCCAAAGAGATACAAACCATTATTGGAAGACACTCCGAACAGGCGATCACAACAACAACTTCGTTAGATGTGACTGAAAAGCACTACTGGGGTGCGTTTTTGCACTGCGTATCCATCTGCAACATTCGGCTGGGTCATCAGGTACCATCATATTCAGGGATACGATCCGGAATTCAAGATTTGAAACTGTAATTGATCAAATATAATTGTCTCTTTCAATCGGATGATAAGGACCTGTATTTTGGAGCAACGGCATAAACGGGCCTCTGTAGCTGTGAGCATATACAGAAAGTAGCCATAACATAGTGATATCACGCAGTTCAAACTAAGCTTTAGTGACAGAAAGCCAGCCAATACACGTACACATAGGCTCATCCCTACTCTTGGTGAGGAAGCGATGGGAGAAAATATACCAAAGATGGAACGGAAGAGGTGCTTGAAAACATTTCAGCAATACCACAAGCCCGATTTCCTATTTCTGAAAGAATTTCATCCGCGGAATCTGATGGCTCAGAGGAGTTTCCGAACATTCTGATATCTCTATATTTATGTTATTTGGAAGCTCCATTGCTGCCCTGTTTTTGTAACAGTTAGTCGCTGATGACCCGTTTTATCGGAGCTAACAAGTGAACTGTCAGAAAGAGCTGATATGTAGTTTAATTGCATACTTTTTCCGGGGTAACTAGACTTGCGTTTGGTACTTCAAAATAGTTCTGGAAATTTCGGCCTAGCAGGCTTTTTGACACAAGTCACCTCGCGTTAGATTTCTTCCACTTTCTATCGTAACGGAATACAGCCAAGTTGGAGATGTCCCAGGACATTATGTCATTGGAGACCCAAGGACTGACTTCAATAAGGTATGCTAAGATTGTTTTTTTCTTCTCTGGAAATTCCGAACCATACACCAAAAGTCTTCACCCAATGTTCAGCCGACTAGGTCCAGCTCACAGATTTGTTCAGTAGACTGAGGAGCCCAAAAACATATTCATATCCGTTATGCCCTCTTGACGCTTTTCCGTAGTCAGTACAGAATGTTCTCATGTTTTGTTATATCCTAAATCTATGCTAAATTTTACCTAGTTTAACATTTATGAATGTCCGGTATATGTTGTTCCAAAAGTCCCGCTGCTACGTTCTTTCTGATTCAGGTCAAAAACGGCTCGATGAGGTGAACGACAAAAGTACAGGGGGCTGTACAAATTTCAGTAGCGAGCAAAATTCCACAGGTATGCTTGATAATTCACGATAAATACAACTCAGATTCATTGTTTCCAGAGCAGAAAAGTGATTTCATACTGCGGCTGATTAGTGGTATCCCCATTACTTTTTTAAAAGGTCACCAGAAGTGAAAAGCAATTTTCGGATCAGGTATACATTTTCATAAGTTTCGGGAGACCTTATAAATCGTCATGTGTACATAAGCCTAAATTATAGGCTTGATTCTTAGTAGTAGGGAGTTTCCGAATCCTGTTTGTGTTCACCTTTATTCAGTTATTTTCTACCACTGTATATTTGATGTGCAGTATAAGTTTCGTGTTTTCCGGATTGTTAACAAGCTGTCGAATCTGAAATGAGACAACACAGGATGGTGGATAAAGTACCAACTGAAACGAAGCAAAGGCCAGGAATATGTGTTGTTTCATGAATACGTACTTTGAGTTAAATCTATCCAAAGCTGAAAAAATTGTGGGAAACACAAAGGCAATAGGAAATCTAAAGCTTTCACTAGACGGTCTGCCACATTTAGTGTGTTTCTCTCACGATCGTGTAGGACATCCGACTTGTGCCAAGTAGATACAAAAATTCCACGACAACTACACCCATTTGCATACCAATTTCGTTTTCACAAGAGACTCGCCTAGAACACAGCTGAATCTCTCATTTACGCCATTTTGCAACTGAATGTGTTGCACGAAGGACGCTTTATGTTGCAGCTGGTTCGGAACACACTACTCATGAGGTTGCTTTTAAAGAGTTTTTTGCTACTTTAGGAATGGTGTGTTCGGTCTACAGTGAGCTTTGTTTTCGTGCCGCGTGGCTGCATTTCAACATTTAAGGTCATGCCAATCAAATATATCAAAAAGGAGCTTGGGTTCAAGGATACATGCGTGAAAACCAGTGGTATACTTTGATGACCCCGAAACCAAAGCGCGAAACCGGTTACGTATTGTCCGAGGGTTTTCAGCAACTTTGTGTGCAGCCCTCTTCATAAAAGTCATACCGTTCCGAGTAAGCACATTTGATGTGCATCCGATTGTCTGCGTTAATTAGCACACTAGCTCATGCTTGGGCATTACGAGGTGTCTCATCGAGTTTAGACATTCAAAATCATCATCTGCAGTATCGATCAACGTCACTACACGACCCAGTGTAGCATGTACGTGATTATGAGCGATGAGATATCATTTTCAAGAAGCAACGTGAAATGAACTCATTTGCAAACTAATTTAGTTCTAACGGGCTACTCAACTGAATCCCAGCTGAATCTGTCGCTTTGTGGATGTCGTTCCGATAATGAAGATCCCCTGTGGATTCGCGCACATCTCAGTGATGAAGGATGCCCCTTGTCTATTGATTGTCCGTGGACAAACTCAAGTCGAAGATGTCAATCATCTTGGCGTGTGGTCATGCGTGGCAGAGAGGCCGCTAAATCAGTTGTTGCCAAGGCTGTGAACCTGATATTCAAATGTAACTGTAGGAGATTTCGCTGCGGTAGCTATGTCCAAATGTGATTCGAATTCTTCTCTATATCAACCTGAGAGTAAGACTAGAGCTCATGCGCGTTTTATTTTCAAAAGTACGCAGCTCACTCTGACTGCCATATCACCAAGAATCGGACCAGTCGCCACCACCGAGCTGAAGTATGCCCCGTCCGCAGTTTGGAAAGTTTGGAACGTGAATTCAGTGCCAAAAAGCACTCTTCTGGTGGTAGAGGTGGTAGTGTTCCTTGTACTTGTCTGGAAATCTCCTCTGAATAAGAATTTCATCCTCGAAGTATCAAACAAACCTGTGGTGAAAACAAGCAGACATCGGGGCAGTTGCAACGGAAGTGTGCGAAAACTAAAACAAAGCAGTAAACAGTGTCTATTGTGTTAAAATTCTAGCCTGTTGGACGTAGTCAAATAACAAGATGCCAGAATACCAGTATTCAGCGGTNGCAGTACTGCAACTTTACACAAGAAGACTTGTGTATACTGTCAAGCTATTGATGGAGTTCAAAACTTGAAATGGTGAGCTTGAGTTGTTCTGGTTAAAACAGACCTCACTATTTTATGATCAGTTCACCGTAGAAAAGGGTGATTACGATCGTGAACTACCGAACGAACACCGTCGAGAACATTAGTCTAGTGTGATGGGATACGACCCCTGTTGTCCTTGGTACTCCCAGTTTGGAGGGAAATAGTATCCTCCTCTGAAGCGCCCACCTTAAGCAACCGATCAAATGAATTTCCAAGGTCCTCTGGCAGACTGACAGCCACTCGACTAGCAACCAGTAAACTGAGCACCTATTCAAATCTTTGTTGAATAAAATCAGACGAATAAACATGAACGGACAGGATTCCAACGCAGCAGAGGAACTTTGTAGTTCGATGGCTTGTCAGGACCACAAGAAGGCAAATGCGCACAGGTCTGGAGAAAAGTTAAGGGCTGCAAACAAAAAATACAGGATGATGATCACATGCCAATGTTAACACTGATAACTAATCTAATAAAATAATATAATAATATAGTAATATAATATCCGTGTAATACACGGATATGATCTTTCAAAGTAGCCGTCTCCTTCCCTCTGTAGCCATGTCAAACGAATTGGCGCAACAAAACTTTGAGGTGTGCGCAATTCCTATATAGAGTTTCAGTAATGGAACGGATTACATGAAGTCGTGTGAGTATTTTTCACCAAGGATAGTGCATTAAAACAACTACAATGGTTTATATTTGTAATGTACTACTCATAAGTTTGCTGAAAATCCATCGACAGCCCACGACCGGTTTTGCCCTTCTTGGGGCTCATCAGGTAGGCGCAGTCCCCGAGTTTCGTCAACCTTAACATTAACTGATGCAACGGTGCAGATGGTTAATGATGCCAGTCACCCTTCAGTATGTTATCTATGTGTCACTTGTCGAGATAACATCTTGAATAACGGCAGCCAAAATGCGAACACAAATCAATGGCTGTTTTAATTCACGGTTAAGAAAATCGACCTTGTTTGGTCAAAACTTCTTCAAGACCTTTGGTAATTGATTCTTTTGTGGCCTAAGACTTGCTGACCGACTGCGTCCCTTTTTGGAGAAAAATGATGTCCAAGAGAGATTCAGTAATGGATAGGAGCTAGAGCGACAAACAGGTATCTACGGAACAAAGTGATTCTGATATGTGTGACGTATGTCCAGCCGCCAGAATCACGGTCTCCCACACTACACTGTTGTTGGAGGGAGGACATGACGTAACAAGACTTCTGTCATACGCGAGCTTCTGGTCCACATGGCTTGGGTTTATGGGATTCTCTTTTCTTACGACCACTTTTAACATAGAACCTAACTAGTCCAGTTGACAAGCTTCCAACTGCTTTCTGGCTGGAGCTCGCCTGTCTATTTCGACTTGTTTTGCGGGAGATTTGACTACTTCCTCACACAGATATAATGCTCAGGTATGTTTGGGAATTTTTCTGCCGATCATCAAGTTAATCCGGTGATATTCAGTGTACATTACACTCATTTGCGAACTAATTTGGTTTTTCGAGAGACTCACCTGGAACCCAGCTAAATCTCTCGTTTGTGATGTCCTCGGGCTACTGAATGTGCTGAAAACCTGGGGACTGCGTCTACCTGTGGACATTCGGGCCGCACTTGACTCTCTTGGCCCAATCGTTCTCCCTAGCGCGCTCACTTACCACTAAAACAGGTTAGCGAATATACACTCATTTGCGAACTAATTTGGTTTTTCGAGAGACTCACCTGGAACCCAGCTAAATCTCTCGTTTGTGATGTCCTCGGGCTACTGAATGTGCTGAAAACCTGGGGACTGCGTCTACCTGATGAGCCACAAAAAGGGTGAAACCGGTCGTGGGCTGTCGACAGATTTTCAGCAAACTTATGGGTAGTACATTATAAAGATATACTAAAACAGGTTCTTTGTATTCTCAGAATTCCGAGCGGGAAAGTACGGAGAGCTCTCCAGAATTTTTCGTGCAACAAGTGGGGTCCGATATGGATTCTTGGTGCCTCCATGCTATTCATTTGTGTGCTAACGAAATTTCTGCTCATCTGAAATACACAGACGATATTATTCTCATCTTCGAAGAGAGAAAAGAAGACAGGTCTTTTGGTTGGACCAACCGAAGACATCCTGTCCTTTCGTATACGCTTCATAGCAATGAAGTGTAAGATCATACATACCCCTGAACATGCAATAACTGAACACCAAACTTGAAGGCTCGAGTTGCCTTTGCTAATTTGAGGCACCGACGGCCTATGCGAGCAGCCGAACTGAGGCGTATTCAGATCTTCACTAAGCGTGTAGGCTGACGCCAGAGAAATCAGGATGAGACATTTAGAAACAGATTGTTCCAGCAATGATTCTAGTCAAAAAAATGCATCCAGCAGCAAAAAATTTAGTCGTGCATTGCGTGAACGGAATCATCATTTGCCGAAAAGAGTGCCGTTTTCTGCGAACAAGTGACGCAAGCCAGGAGGTGGCCAACATTTGATCTGACAGAGGATTATGAAAGACATTAAGAAAAGTCTGTTTTCCGTGCGATTAGCATTCCAGGATGGGATTCACGCACCACCTCGTGTACTTGGTTGAAGATTGTGCAAGATATACCTGCTTATAGACGTCAATGGCTTTCTTGTTGTCGGTTTTTTTCAAGATAGTCCGATTGCTTATCTGGAGGTGAAAACAGCTCAGAGCCTACCCAGTTGCGTTCTTTTCTTCACAACAGGCCTTCCATATAAATAGTGGTTGCACAGCAGTAAAGCATTCGTTCTGAAAGTTTTTTCATCATTTTTAGTACGAATTTTCAACCCGATTCCTTCCCTTTCTAGCAGTCAATGGTTCGTTTAATCCTTCTGATTTTCCTATATGACCTAGCCCCGACGTTTAACACTGATGTCAGGTTATTAGTACTACCGATAATTATATTGACCTATCCATTTTCTGTCGTATCAAGTATGCTGGAAGTCGAAACCAATTACTCAAGCGTACACTGAGAACCATCATTCGGAGTTTGTGTCCATCTGAAGGACGAGAATCCGCAAGAGTCGATGTATTGTCAAGCCCAGGTCAAGACATCCAGGAAGATTTCCCCCCACGGGTCATCGCAGAAGGTCCTTCCAGGAACAAGAACCGTTTTGCGAAACTAAGGATGTTCGAAAATTTCACCAGAAAGTGGTAAAAGGCCAAATAATAGAAGGGCGAAAAGAGATACTTTCTATAAGATTGTAGAGTATCATTAGCTTCTCCCTAAAGATGCATCCAGTGGCAAGCGAGTACGGGTCGATTGAATTTAACAAAACTAAGGACACTTAAGGCAGGACGTGCTGGTAACGGATTCAGAATTCAATTCATTTCCACTGCTCGCCATTTTTTCGATTCTAAGGGATACAACGAACCATGAAAGGATGGAACTAGAAAGGAGACATCAGTAATCGGGAAAAAGAAGACCCAGTCTGGACAAACAGCCTGATCTCACCACCGATGTCGCCTTACCATGGTAAGGTGGAATACGTTTACAATCCCGTTCCGTTAGACAACCCAACCAGAACCCTGATGACCTTCAGCTGTCTTAGTGGTTTCATTTCCCCATGGATCCATTCGTCTTTCTACCGGCTTACTAGCAACGTTGACTCGAACTTAAGCAAGTGTGTGTGTGTGTATGTGCAAACCATTGTTGGGTCTTCGGGCTATTCTGTGACGCCTCTTTTTGCTGTCATCAATGTATTAAAAGCGCTGTCAGAAGGATGACTTACGTGGGAGATAGATGACCATGTAAAAGGCACAGAAATTACGGTGATAACTGACTCATGTTTGTACCAGATCTCTGGTTCTCTACCCATTACATTTCAGGGCAAGGGACGCACAAAAACACTGAATTACGCCACTAATTAAGACGTAACATGTCTGCTTTGGGGTGTAGTTACATGAGAAAGAATCTAGTTCGTCGCAGAAGCGAATCACGTGATCTGAGATTTATGACATACTTCTTGTCTCAGATAAAAGTAGATGCTGAGCGGGCAGTCTACACAAATTATGCAAATAACAATTTGGAGAGTGTGTGGATTAACAACGCGACTGGAAGTTCCACCTAACATTCGAGTTGGCGATATCCGTCTATCAATAGATCCCAGTTTTTCTCGTCATTCCTACTTTGAGTGTAGAGGCGAACGGCTTTTGAACTGTCTGACATTAGATGACTATGGGATTGAAGACGGATCGATATTGTTGTTCGTTGAAAGCTACGACGTGATCGATTTGTTGCTTCATGTGACCATCCTTGAGCTAACTATATGTTTGCTGAGAATATGGTGTCTACAGCTGTTTGTGTAAACCGCTACGAGTCACGATGCACCGCTGGAAATGGGGTGTTTCAACAAAGTGATGCAGGAGATGGGAAGACTGCTTTGCATGGATGAAAGGGTACTCTGTCTATCCGATTCGATTTGAAGAGGAAACTGAAAGAGAGGATGCTAGCACAAATGGGTTTATCGAAGTGGCCTGGAATGAGCTGTTGATTTGTTAATCGTATTCAAACGGAGAGTTACTTTCCTTGCATGAAATTCCATCAGTACTGTCAGCTGTGGTGGCGTGGGACTCAGAGGCCTTACCTCTGTCTTCATGCATTGGATGGAGAAGTTTCAGTGTATACTCATCGACCTGTGAAAAAAATTCCAGGGCTATGGGGATATATGTCCAAACCGAATGTGTCAATCTATCAGTAAGTTGAGGCTAGAGGCATGTCCATTCAGAGGTCTCCCTTGCTTGGCTGGTACCACTACTACTGTTTTATGAAAGCATCATGATCAGACTCACGGATGTCGGTACAGCGACAACAATAATGGCTGGTTAAATGGTGACCCACAAAGTCTCTGCCTTAAGGAAAGCCAGTGAGTACAGTGCCAAAAAGCACAATTGGTTACTATTGCTACGGTCGGGTTATCATGGACGTATTCTGCGTTGCACTGCAATGCCTAGAAGGATCGAAGTATCTCACTAAAATGAAGAGATGCCCCTTTTGCCCTTAATGTGTGCAAATTGGCCAAAGTACTCCTTGAAATTGAGTGAAATGGGTTCTCTCACCCAGAACGGTTGGTCCAGTCAGAGCGCTTAGTACACGTCAAATTGCACTTTTAAAATGCCTCATTGAGGGAGACTAAGGTACAAAACAGGCATACCCAAAATGTCCCATGCGAAGTTCCAGTTTCTAAGATCATTTTTTTCTTCTGGAGGACCACTTGTTCACTCAACAGTCGGATAAAAACTCCCCAAGAGCGAAATATTCCGTGGTCGCATTTTCACGTCATTCCGATCACCCGTTCTTGCAAACAACAAGATCTGACTGAGGTCTTCTATGACACGAGCACCGGGTGAAACGCTTTAAATCCCTTTACATCCACAGCACATACAGCTTTACAACACAATAGTGGCACCGATTCCAGCAACATGGTACATTATTTTCTTCTGTTCCCAGAGAAATTCTTCCACCTTGGATATATTGTTCTATAACCAGTCAGTAATGTGACCGTACCGCCGGAGAGTGGTCCAGCGAAAGCAGTGCTTTTCTCCTCACTGCTCTCAGGTTTGTGAGAAATGTCTCTCCGGTGCACGGTTCACATGGTCAGTAATGTGACCGTACTACCGGACAGTGGTCCAGCGAAAGCGATATCTTTCTCGTCACTGCTCTCAGGTTTGTGAGAAATGTATCTCTGGTGCACGGCTCAGAAGAAGTTCTTCTGCCTGGACAGGCATGCACAAAAGTAAGTTATTACTTCGAGAAATACACTCATTTGCAAACCGATTTGGTTTTAACGAGAGACTGAACTGAATCTCTCGTTTATAATGTTCTACAACTGAATGTGCTGCACACAAGCCGCCTCATAATTCAGTTGGCACGATATTCGAGATATCGCAGTATATTTTCGCGTAGAACATATGATTGACGCGAACTCGGGGACTGCGCCTACCTCATGAGCCCCAAGAAGGGCAAAACCGGTCGTAAGCTGTCGAAGAGTTTTCAGCAACCTTGTGAGTAGTAAGTTATTACTTGTTTACATCCAAAATGGCTGCTTTTCCAAAACACTATCCCTAGAGTTCTCAGTTTTACCGCACCACTTTTTGAAATAACAACTGGTTCTCATCGGGACTAATTGTATCATATTACGCACTCAAGTGGATTCACCTAGAATGCCCGCCCTCTCTCGGGGTGTTTCATAGCTGTGTGCCAAAGGGTGTCGGGTTCCAACATATCTAGTTTTTCAGGCATTGTGAACAATAAATGTGCTCGTTTTAAGGATTTCTCACTACATCAAACTGCTCTGCTCTTATTCTACTACACCTCCGTTCAAGGAAATGTAACCTCATCGTGTAAACATGTGGAGCCAGAAGGACTTTGATTCATGATAACACACAGTGGCAAAGGATTTGATGCCAGCATTCCGTAATGTCTTCAAATTTACTTGAAATATTAGTCCAAAGAATTCCGACCTTGTACTCAACTCCCTTCCTTTCCGTCTCATATTAGTTGTGAGCAGATTCTTGGGTTTTTGACGCGTTGCAGGAATTCACGCAAAAATTTCGAGTGCAAATTAAGCAGAACATTATCGGCGAGATTCTAGTCATAACATCTCTCACTGAGAGCGTCAGCACTTGTTCGAAAGAAAACGACTTTTTTTAGACATACCTAGTCCTAGCTGAAACGAAATGAAATTCCATTCGACGATTTCAGAAAGGCCACTAGACTTACCGGAAACTTCATTTCGCTTCACGTCAAACGTTGCCCAATCACATCGGTCCATAGCGCACCTTTCCACATGTCTCTCTGTCTTACGGAAAGCGGTTGGACCCTGTTATCGAGGGGTTCCTTTCTAAAGCAGGCTGTAAATTTCAACCATTTAGCCGAAGATTGCACCAGGCAAAAACATCTTGGTTTCGATTGTCCTGCTCTAGGGTTTTAGTCCTCTTATCTCCCATGGGCCACAATGTGCACACCCATCCCAAAACGGTAGCCTCGAAAAAATGCCGCTAATAACAACAAGTGGGTAAAACAGAAAAAATCATTTGTCGAGTGCATTTTTACCACACAATGAGCCGAAATGTTTGATGGACCAGTACAACAGTAGCCAGCAAAATATATAACAGACCGAAAAACCGCCACATGAGTGGGGACGAAAGGGTGTGACACACCAGAGCGCAGGCAGTCTAGCCCACTGTAGTGTGTCTTCCGGCATCTGACCACCTTACCAGTGGTACTCTAGCAGACAACAGCTCTCCAACACAGATCCAAACAAACGCATTTGCGCAACACTCTAAGTGACAGATTACATAGAATCCATTTTTAACCCCACGTTTAGGTTTCCGTCTACAAATGTATTTTCAAGTTTATTCATGCACGACTTTGTGTTCACATGAAAATAGGTTTTTATGAGAATTCATCGACGACCTAGAATGGATAGAATGGACATAAATGTCTACTGGTCACTTTGGAGCACTTTAGAAAAACAAACTATCTTATTTGAAATTTGTACGTTAGGTTATAGTTTCACCGAATTGGATTCTTAGTCTGGATCACTTTACAAACACAAAGATCCGTATCACTTTTACAGATTTTCGCGTGAATCGCACTCATTTGTGGTACATTTGTTTGAGAAATTACGATAGATTAATTGCATTTGTAACATATATACTTTTGAGAATCAGAAAAATGCTTCAGGGGGGATGCGAAAAAGCGCTAAATTGATCGCGCTAGCTCAGAAAAGGGATTGAACCGGTAACGATACATAAAAGGATTCACGCCTGTCTGATTATCAACAGCTACACGGTTAGCTCAAAGTAAACGTTCATGAGAGAAGGGGGTGATTGTCAAGCAGTACGCAGGAACAAATAAGATGGAATCTGGGGATCATGGACCTCCGTTCGCCAGCACAACTTACTTGATGAGTGGTTAGGGAACATCCTATATAATCGCTTTCAGCGAGTGAAATAAACGTAGATAAAATCCCACTGCCTTTCCCTCTACAATTAGATAGCTAGCTCATTGGTAACTAAACCGGAAACCCCGCAAATGGTCGTATACGCCTTCTTGCTTCCTCACCAGGAATCAAATAACACTTTTCACATGCTGGTATGGACAGACGGACAGACTCTAGTGGAGTTTGATCTGAAGTTGACCCAAAATTTTGTACAACTAGGTGGGCTGGCAAGATCGCAATTGGAACGTTCCAATCAAATAGCTATTTCAAAAAGAGTATGCATTTCATAATATGAGAGGACTCGCTTGAATGAATGGGATCTTTCAATTATTTGGGGACAAATTCTGACCGATGTGCAGGTCATATCATGAGAAAACGGGAGCCAAATAATGGATATCACTTTGTCGACAAGCGCTCCACATCATCATGGAATATCTGTACACAGGAATAACAAAGGCGGTTTAGTCCTGTAAACAGGACATTTTGTCTTTTTTGGTAGCTTGTCAGTCCAGGTGTTCGGCCGCCATGCAACCGCTACCTTTGCCACTTTGGATCAAATTTTCATTAAAAAACTAACTACTTGAACTCTCTTCAGTAGTGTACAGGAAGTCGGTAAAAGGTGTCAGCAGTTCGTTAAAAAATTGCATACAGATAACATTAACAATCGTGTTCTTACCTAGCACGTGGTTTGATGAATTTAGCAAGAGGCGGATTTCACGGACAAAGCCAGGCAAAATATGCACAATAGGATATCCTTCAGCATGAGTCACTAGAAATGAAGCAAAACGAACTACACAACGCACAAACTCAAACTTTGCAGTAATCATTGGTTGGTAGCTAGCAAACTGAATGTGTTCTAACTTTTGACAACCATAAAAGAGTCTAGTAAGTCATTTCAAACCATCTAGGTAAAGCTCTCGTTAACCGGGTGTATCCCCAACACAGGAACGTTAGAGGTCATGACGTCTATCCAGTCTTTCCGCTTGCAATAACCCTGTGGAAGAACTCATGAAGGTGAATAGTTGTGATACAACTTTCCGGAAAAGTGAAATCGATCTGCAGTAAAAATTTTAACCACAGAAGTACAAAATATTTTTTTGTATTGTACTCTGTCGATGAGTGATTCGTGGTACAACTTTTTTATCCGTTGTTCCGGTGTGAGTTCAGTGACCACAAAAAGAGTTGAGTTGGGTTTTTTAAAAGCGGCTACGACAGTGCGTACTTTTTTGGAACTCACCCGTTATCTCAGCCTTCTTAACACTAGTTTCATCCTACTGGGCTTGTTGGTACTTTGGAATGTTCCATTTGTTAAACGGTCTAGTACCATTTTACATCAACACGGTCATACCAAATGAGTGTACCAAATACGTCTGCCTTATTAGATGCGCAAAATTTGGTTTCGGTCAAAACATAAGGTTGGTGGAAATCCGGGGATCGAGCCCACCTGTGCAGCGATCACTTAGGCTTCTTGCGTCAAATTTCCTCTAGAACAATATGTCATTTTGCTGACTGCATATTTGTACTTACATCACCAAGTAGGGTTTTCGAATGAAAATACGCCAAAAACGACTATATGTTTGACATTACAGCGCCCTCGTATGTAGCGTCTTGGGCCTTTCAAGAAAAATTCGCAATAACGCCAAAAATGCTGAATCCTCAAGGTTCTCTTCTTATGGTTTATTCCAGCCCCACTCGTAAAACACATTTTATTCAGATTGCCAGTGTGGCCAATGCATGATGCGAGGGGTAACGGTTGGCCGTTCGCTATAAAAAAAGTCAGGTGATCACTCTACCGTAGTGACAAGTAACCAGTATGACAGTGGTAACGTCAGAGCACATTTCATGAAGCATCAACCACGATAAAATCGAGGCTCGTCTCCAGAAAACGAGCATACACAGAAAAGGGGCATTCAAAAACACTTAGTTTGAGGTACAGACGCCGCCACTAGTCAGATCAAAGCATTTGGTTTTATTGGGAAATGTGAAACGAGTAACGCAGATGGATATCAAGCGTTACTGAAAGACTCGGCACTCTACCAGTGGCACCCGAGATGAATCATCAATTGGAGCACCCCGAAGATTAACGAACCAAACTCGATCAGAGTTAATTAGAAACTCCCCCAATCCACCAACGCAAGATTTTGGCAACCTCACTAGCCGACAAGAGCCGTTAATTGACACTAAACACTGATCTAATGTGATAATCTGAAGAGGACTGACTTACTGATTGGTTCCCCGTCTGTCTTATCATCTGGCCAATTTGGTGACCTGTTCACTTGGCCTGATGAAGCTTTTGTGTCAAAAGCGAAACGTTGCCAAAATAAAAACTACCGGTTGTTTACCAAGCTCTTCTGAAATGTGGGAGATTTATCCAGACACTGACTTCGTGCCTGGAATATCGTGTAACCGTGGAGCTGACGAACTTGTGGTGGATTAGGACGTCATAGAGTATGATAATGCGTCTGTGTACTCCACTCTATTAAAGTTCAGTGCAAACGATTATCGTGCGGCGTGAGCTACAGACCATCTTTGTGGTGCATACAGTTTGACATGCCGGAAATGGGAAAATATCAGAATAGCAGTTTTAAAACGCGTCTAAAATGAACCTTCTACATTTCACAGCTTTAGGAAGTGATTAATACCGTATCATCTTTTGTCTCTTCTCAAGGAAAATCAATATGAATTGATCAATTTGAATTATGCCCGCCTAATTAGGATATTTAAAGCACCTAGAGAGAAAACTCAAGACAATAATGTTTCAATTTGATCCTACCCACTGAATCAGTAGACACTAAACAGTACCAGACTCACAATTTCGAACAAGTGTGTGACGGATGGTTTTGCAGCTGGATCCATCCCCTTGACATGTGCCACACCGGTCTCTTGTAGCTTTCCCGTTGACAACACCCAAACAGTCGAATTTCTGAGAACCAGAGGTTGTGGAGGGAAGCGATGGATTACTCATAACCGAAGAGAACAGTTCTGTCAATTTTGTCAACATGGCACATAAACACTCATTATGGTGGAGTAAACAAAGCAACTGTTCTGTGGTGGGGAACATCTTTTACAGAATAACTCTCCAAATCGTGACATTCATGGAAAAAACTACCTTTGGTTGAGGAATTTTAAAGGGTTGATATCCGAAAAATATTACATTTGGGGTACGTGCGTAGTTCTTACGGAAGCCGGACTGATTCAGTGAGGGCTGGCCGCGCTTCTTCAAGAAATCCCTTGGGCATTCACCATAAGGTTCATACGTAGTGTGCTTCGAAACAATAGATCCCTTTCGTTTCAGTTGTCCCTATCCGCCTGAACAACTAGCGATCATTACTTCCGGAAGCTTTCTGTATTGGCAAAGAACACACTGGCCTCACTACCTACCGGTTTACTCTAAATATCACGGCATCCTATGAACCAGTTGCTGGTGGCTATACAATCGATATATACCATTTAATTTCCTAACTTCAGCGCCTTCTGCTGAAATAAGCCAGCCGTGCGTATATAACGAATCCTCAGATTGATTTGCACTCAAAACCTCGGGCAGTTGAACAGTAGACCATTCAGATACAACACGTTGATCACAGGCTTGAATGACCTCAAATGAGTCACTCATATTTAAGTCGCGTGGTCTTGTGCTTACTGACACATCGAGAGACTGGGTCTTGCTTTGAATGATCCCTCGTCATGTGAAAAGTACTTGCTCCTAAGCTACTTATTTTTCTGTTAATAGTAAGAAGAAATTTGAAGATTAGGAGCTGCGTGTTAGCAGTCTGAATCGGCTGTCATACAATTTCATCAGTCGGAATGAATAACAGGATATTGGTTTGAAAGAGCCACTACTCAACAATGCATTGTTTCCATAACATCGGGCCTCCAGCGTCGTTATCCTATGACATCAGAGGTGCTGAAATGCACTGGTCAGAACACTCGGTTTCCGCATTATAGTTTTAAATCCCATAAAATTTCAAGCTGGAAAAACATGGTCTGCAAGTCCGAAATTCGAGATTGATTGACCGCTGATTAATTACAAACGTCATTGAGGCCTACACTCTGTTCTTTTACAACTCAAACCAAAGGTTGTGGTAGGTCCAGTTGAGTGGTTTCCGTTTAGCCCGGAGACAAGTGAAATAAGGATGTTCACTTTAGGACCGTTTGACCGCTTTCGGAAGCTGTGAAGATATATAGCTCAGATGGGTTATGCAAGGTATGCGGTTCGAATTACAGTTCCTGCTACCCTATTCACCAACATGCCACACAAGCCACGTCAACAGAACCTCAATCGCTCTTTCAAACATTCGTTCTCACCCTTAACTGAAGGGTTCCTTTTAATTTTATCGCTATTAACGGGCCCCGGGGATGAGAGCGCTTGGGAGCTGTGCGTATGGCAGTACTTACACACTTAAACTGTTTGACTACTCACTCAATTTCACAGTACTATGAAAAAAATCGACCGAACTCATTAGAGACTGTGCTCACGTGAGGCTATTTTCGTGGCTGTTATGGCTGGATTCGTAATCCACACACGCACAGATGAAGCAAATCGAATGAGCTGTGATCCAACCAAGACCCTGAGCTGGATCCTAATGGAGCTTTAACCTGAAGCTTCTGAAGGTAGAGAATATCTGTGTTTTTGTAATGCACTACTTATAAGGTTGCTGAAAACTCCTCGACAGCCCACAACCGGTTTCGCCCTTTTTGGGGCTCATCAGGTAGGCGCAGTCCCTGAGTTTCCGTCAACCTTATGTTCTACTTGAAACCAAATTGCACGAAATTAGCGAATATACACTCATTTGCAAACTAATTTGGTTTTTTCAGGGATTCACCTGGAACCCAGTTGAATCTCTCGGTTTTGATATTTCCACGCAACTGAATGTGCTGCACCAGGCCGCCTCATGTTTCATGCCTGGAAACATCCAAACTGAGAGATTCAGCTGGGTTCTATGTGAGATTCTCGAAAAACCAAATTAGTTTGCGAATGAGTGTATATTCGCTAATATCTGCGTTCGCTTAGTGTCGAGCGATTGATCTGTCACCTCCAGCTTGCGGCGGTTTAGAACTAAAGAAGAGCAACCAACCGTATACGGTAGAGACTTGAGGGGTATGCTGAACGAGTCAAACGAATTACACTAGGGGTTGAAAGTATTCTGAAATTTGTGCAGTGGTGGAACCATTTCCATTTTCATGATTTTACTACTCCAAAAAAAGCTTTATGGACGACACCAGTTCGCCAAATTCATGACACAATGTATGGATGTCAAAGGTACGTCTTCTGGCGTTAATGGCTAGAACTCTCTTGCAAAATCAAAGACTAGGAAGAAATTTTGGTTAGGATCAGGTGTAGGTACCCAAATTAGGATTGCTTGGGTATACAAGTGAGAAGTAAAGGAAGCTTGGGGGTAGCGATCTTGGTACGCATAACCTAAGGTAAAAGGATGAATCACGTAATTAATTGAACCACGTGAAGTGAGGCAGGAACGGATGGACGGACGATAGCCTATGTGTATTTTCAGGCTAGGCAATTTACTTCGGGGATTGCAGGCTTACTGTCAGCTATCTGGTGGCCACCGTCTCAGCATACGGCGATCACTTGAACTCTAGATGATCAAGCCAGAGGACAAATCATATGCCACCAGGTGTTTGTGAGTAGCCTTTGAGAGTATGCCTAATTATTGGTAGCTCGGGTGAGTTTATTGGCTGTCGTTGTCTGTTCGCAGAGCTCGACTAGTGGCTTGCAAACTTTCCGTCAGCATGTGTAAGTACATCATCGTTGCAGACAATGGAAAAGATCTAGGTTATTGAAAGTACCAGGATAAGATGGTGATTTCCTTGTCGCTTGTGGCTCCATTGATTCAACCGTATGAGGGGGTTGGAATGTAGACAGTTTCCTCATGCACAGTGTCGCGCTGTAATCAACTAAAATGCTTGACAGTGCCACAGAAAGCATGAGATTTGTCGGCATTTGTCGAGCCTGGAAATTGTTTTAAACCTTACAGGTACGTGGAGGTGTTGCTGCTTGAAGCAGACGGCGGACCAAAGTAGCTGCACTACAATGCCAACGAGAAGAATGAAATAAATGACAGCCACTGACATTAGGATAAAAAGCGAACATTGTCATCAGTGGGTTGGAGTGGATGAAAGATTGTATGTACCGTAAGTTTCTCCCGATTTCCAGCGATCTTCAAGAGTTCCACAAATGCTAGACTATTTTTTTTTGTTCATAGCCGCACCACTCTCATCTGAAGGGGCGGCGTTCCTGCTCTGGCGTAATTAATCCGGTGAGTCCACACACCAAAGGGAGGCACTAGGACTAGAGTTTCGCTCATCAGCAGTGCATACCCAACGGCTGTGCTGGGATTTGAACCCCGGACGTCTGACATGCGAGGCGAGGGTGTAACCACTACTGCACCAACGCACGTTGGACGGATCTGAATTATCACCTCTGAACAGGCGAACGTCTTCACACTTGAGCGATGTGATCGGTGTGCCCGACTCATCGAACGACGACCCAATAACTGTTCTTGTTGTGACGATCGATTGACCCGCCAGTCAGGACTTCCCAGTCCAGTAGCGTGGCACACGCTAGAGACCGGATATTCCTTGGCCGCCCTTCGCGAGTGAACTCTGAAGTGTTTGATTTTATCGCTAAGTTCCCAGCTAGGTAGCGTGGCACACGCTTGAGACCCACTGGGCAGATTTTTAGTTGCAATTTCGCGGTTTTGCGGGATAGGTACCTTTGTTCATAGCCACAACACTCTCGTTTGAACGGCCGTGTTCCCTCTTCGGCCCAATTACGGGAAGTTGAACAAGCCACTAGGGGGACTTGACAGGCGGGTCAATTGACTCGTACAACGAGAGCAGTTGCTGGATCGTCGTTTGCGTCACGTCGTTTAAACGTGAAAAGGTTTGCCTTCTGAGACGTGCTAATTCAAATGCGTCCAGCCTGGGCTGGTGGAGTAGTGGTGACACGCCCACCTCGAACATCAGGTGTCTGGAGTTCAAGCCACGGCACGGCTAAGACTATGCACTACTGCGGAGCTCTAATAAGAGCGAAAATCGAGTCCCGTACTTTCCCTCTTCGGTGTGGTCTCACCAGGCTAATTGTGCCAGGTGAAGGAAGGAATGTTCAAATGAAAATGATGGGAACGCGAACACGAAGAATTCTGAAACTGGGCCATACTCAGCTAGGGTGTGTTTAGAGCATAACCGAGTTGGTTCAAGCGTGCACAATGAATTACTAGTCCTTCTGATACATAAAAACTAAAAATGGATCAGCTGGAATCTTGCGAAATGTGAAGGCCGAGAGATCGATTTTTTCTTCAACACTGTGACTTCTCTCAAATGTCTTTGTTATAGGTTCAACTCATATTTTCGAGTTGGTGTTCTTGTGAAATCTTGTGGGTTAAAGTTGGTCTGACCTGTGACTACAGATTAATATCTCCTTCGACTTATATACTGAGCAGCAATAATGCATGCATGCGACTTCCAGGAAAAAAGGATCACAAAGTCTAATTGGCTGTTCTCTACTACAATACAGACTGGGGCGGCCACTATGGTGAATTTGTAGAGGTCACTCATCATCCGGTCACGCGTCGCAAACACTCAAACCACGTGACAATTCCCGTCCTACTTGCAATCTTGGCCGACAATTTGAACAATTCTCATCCATTTTCGCTTACGCGGCTACCAATTGCGTAACGCGCCAGGCTTATGAACTTCATTCAACACATCAGGTCAAGTTGTATTCATGCTCGTGCAAGCATCAAACACGAAGTGACATCCCTCTGTTCACACTGCACACAATAGATATGCATACAACTAGGCTCAACACACACGCACTCGCTCGCACAGTACAGGAGGTCAACAGAGCTCCGCAAGTCCCCACGGACAGCTACGGAACACGTGTAGCAGCTTTGCTGCAGAGAAAATACGTCCAGCGTCCGGAACTTTACTCAGCAACACTCAAGAAGTGTCCTCAAACGAAAAGTCATTTTTTGGCGTATTCCACTTTTCGCATTGTATCAATTTCTATCAAGTACACCTAACTATTGTATTCATCACATTCTAGTAAGGCAGACTTTAGTTAGTGCCTTTTACCTTCTGATAATCAACTTGACTACGTCACAACTAGAGCATTAACCATTCAGCCCCCAGATTGCACACGTACCACACATTGGGCCTGGACACACCGAGCATCTGGAGTTTCATAACCGCAGGGAGTGCCGTCGCGAACTGCAGTACGTGCATCCAAAATCTGTTCGGTTTGTTCAGATCGACACAGCAGTTGACAAGGCGCTGAAATTTAAATAAAGACATCCAACTCCGTCACCAGGTGTTTTGGTTGCTGATTTTTCTTTCAGTAAGCAGTAAAACTGTCAAATGTCTTGTGTTTTTCGAATCTTACAGGCGCACAAAAGACTACATTAAAAGTCCGATAAACAAGGGGAAAATGAACAGGTGGTAAAAACCAAGACTATAGAAGGCCTTTCAGATTTTCATAAAGCACGGGATGGAAAACCACTCAAGTCACCTGTCTTGACACAAACGCATTCATCCAAGCCTATGCAACATCGCGGTTTGATCTCTCCGAGGAGTAGCTACCCCGGCGGAGGTCGGCTACTCCATGTCTCCAAGATGGTTTCACCTGAAGGATGACCGCAACACACTTCGCGTTCTTATTTTACTTGTTTCACACAAAGTATGCACACTCGTCGGTGGATTCTCTAAATGAACCAATTCTTGTTAATCACGCACTGTCAAATGAAGGCCACCTAAAATGTCGAGTGCATTCAAAGTGAGGAGAACTTTAGGAAAGATACAGCAATGACTACCGTGTAAACGAATGAAATGAGCAGCCGATGAAAACCTCTCAACGGGGGGGGGCTCCCATTTATTTCTGGGGGATCCACTGACTGTTACTTTTCATGCACGAAAGTGCAAGAAATTCAAATGCACAATGAACACATTTTATTTCTTCTCAGTTTCGTTTTGAAACCTTTCTCTTCAGTGTGAATCGAATAAGTGAACACTATTCGAAATTAGGACAATGTAAGCGTTCGTATAAATAGAGTTCAGTCTTATAAAACACTCTGTACTGACTGGTCCCAAAAGATAGAACGTAAGGCAGCGTTAATTTGTAGGGTGATCAACAAATGCCCGAGGCCTTCGACATGAATTCCTATTCCGAGTCAGGTCTCAAGAAGGCTCTCCTTTCATATCGTGTACGCTGAACGTTGTCTTCGTAGTTTAAGGGAATGAATGACTCATATCTTTTGGTGGGGGCGGGGCAAACGAAATCGGGAAGGGCACATAAATCTTATCACTTTGATGGGCAAATTAATCAAGAAGTGTTCAAGTAAACAACATGAAGAAACCGGGTACAGTGCGACCCTTCGAGCCCAAGTACCTAATGGAGTTTCCTCTTGCGACAAATCCATCTACTATTGTGTTGTGACTTGTTGAACGGTCGTCCAACTGCGTCGGTCCTCGGCTTCCTGCTCCACCCACCATGGTATACCGAAGACACGGTAGCTTCAGACAGCCTCTTATGGACACAAAGGAAGATTATTACAACCCTATTTATAGGGTAATCACAGAATGTTCCACAAGGTCATGCTAGAATCCCCGGGCGGGAATCGTCGATCTGAAGATGTTCGATACCTATTTGCTGGCATTCTGACCAATCAGGGCATGCCTTGGTTTGGTCCGTAGTCCGCGCAAGACACATCCGTTTAACTGACGTACTGTTGCGTCATTTTCCGGAAAAAATGTGTGAGACGTTTCTTTTCACACCCAACCTATCGCATTATGTGTTGTTCCTTTGACCACTACTCAACTTTATTGCGGATTCGCTCCGGTACTTGAAACCCACCGCACCATCTGTCCAAGACGAAATGGATGGGAATAATCGCACTTATTGAACGACATTCGTTGTTATTCGTGAAGTGTTATCATCCCAGTTATTCATTCTGTTTCTCGTTTCTGTTTATTAGTTCGCTTTGTTTTCTCGATTCTGACTTTGACGTTGTGAATTTTCCACGTGATCAATTTCCAACTCATATTTCATGCCATTAAATTAGCTCTTTCTAGAACGTCTGTAGCCTTCCTCGCGTGTGGATGCTTTGACTGCTTTCGGATACCATTACTGCGTTTGTGAGTATCATGAACAAGTCTATATCAACCTGTCAGTCATCTACTCACTGCTCAGTCTGGGTTAGTCCGGTATCGTCTCTTTCGGAATGGTAGCGTGATGGAACAGATACGACTCTACAGGGGTGTGTCATTCGTTCCTGATCCAATCCTGACCAATCGGGAGTGCCGGTGATTTGAACTGGACGGTTCCCGGTGCAACTCACTGGTGCATCAATACTGATGTTCTCTTTACTAAGCAGTCGTCAGCAAGTGAAATTAGGATCTGATTTTTTCGTCATGCCAGTTCACACAGTTGAACAATATGAACAATTATGGACAACAGGTGTAGAGTGTTCCACTAATTGTTCAACAGCATGTCACAAGTTTTCCCTCAGTTTCGGTTTTCCGATCTTTGTGACAAAATACGGAAGTGAACACTTGGGAGTGCTCAAAGAAGAGATCGTAACAAGGCCGCGAAACGGCGGACTTAGTTCCTAGACCGAAAAGGTTACAGTATTACAATCCTGTGACCATCCAAGAGGCCAGGAATTCAGCTTAAATTTCAAATGTATGCTTGAGTAGTGGATACTACTTATGAGTAGACGGTTCATTTTGCCCGATGCGGTTAGTCAATCGCGTTTTCTTTGCTGTAGTGCTCCGACACAACTCAACACCGGCTATATTTAACTTTGAAGTCATGAACATACTTAAAAATTGCTTAGAAAACCAAGTACTTAGTGTTTTTTTTCTCCTTCTGTGATTTTTCTGCCAGTTCCACATTCTATCGCGGACAGATGACACTGAAATGTCAATTATTACTGGTTGGAGACAATAATTTTCCGCGTTATGCCAAAGTCTCCACCACCTGTCAGACGCATGCACTGCATTTCCAAAATCACTTAGTTCTGTAGTGGCTATTAGGCGTAGACTCACCACTTTGGTTCACAACAGGAAGCCAAGTATGGAAGACACCGCGCAATTTAAATTGGTTATACCTTGAGCACTGGAACTCACGATCATCTACTGCAGTGTGGCAGTTAGTCGCCTGGAAGTGGGAAGAGAAAACACATGGTGCTAGACCTTGGGATTGATCGCCAGGCCATATAGGGTCACAGATAACAGATTTCGAATCATAATGCAGCAGGTACCTCCCTACAACGCACACCGTTCTACAACGATCACATTTGGCTTGACCTACCGATCCCTTGGAGAAGTGATTTCTCACCTTTAGTAGATATGAGTAGATTAAAACCATACCTGTCGTTGTCCGTCCAACGTTGAACAGATTACATTGGCATTTTCTGATGAGCGCCGGCTTGTGACAACCTAACCAGAGCTCATCAATCCTAGTACGAGCATTTGAAACTGGCCCCAAGTGATGACTTTACTGTACACAGCCAACGAAAATTGCCAGTTTATCCGGGTAACTAAAAATCCTGCCTAATTGCTTAGTAAGCCGAAATTCATGGACAAACAAGAAAAATAAATGCTGCTCACGAAATAGTCAGAAAAGCAAGATTTTAGACAGCTAGAGTGGTTTGCTCGGATGGCGATTGCTCGTGTGAAGCAGAGAAATCACTGAGGTGGTTAAATTTTTTGGAAAAGTTAAGCAGAAGAGATTGTGCAATCCTCGCTTTCAGGATTTAAGAATCAGGAGCTATTCTCAATTCAAGGCCATTTCCACAGGCCAAAATATCGCTGCTCATCAGATGGCTGCTGATCTGAAAATTAGCTTGGAAACTTTTCGACATCAACCTATTAAACATCAACACGAGGCTGGGTAAGCAATTCCTTCTAACCTGTATGTTTTTATATAACTTTTGAAGAGTATCGATTACCTCTTCATGTGATTGGCTAATTGGGCGACAGCTCTATAGTGGTTTCACTTGTTCTTGTGTTGATTGGTTTACGAATTCAAGGCCACAACACCAAATGAAGGTGGTTTGCTTTCATGTTCTATCTACACAGACGCGGAAGTCCGACTTGTGCCCCGCAAATTTTTCTATCAACGCAATTTCCAGTAGATGTTTCGCGCACTTAGAGAGCCAAAGAACCGGTAGTGCAGCGTGGACTGGCTTTTAGCAAAAACGGCTAATGTACACAGTCTCCTGTATACCACATCGAGAGGCTCTTCAAACCTCATTGTGACTACTTGGCGTACAAAGTTATATGCTTGTGGATCATCCTCGAAATTGTTGGAAGACAAGGTCCTCAAACAATCGCATTGTTCAAAAGCTATTCAAAAAACTTTGAGAGTTCACAGCTATACACTGTGACCATTCAAGGGTCTGGTCAACTGCAGTCAGTTTGCTCTTTCCATCGTTAGATCATGGTTTCAAATGTACCCGTCAAATGGTATCTACCATCTTGACCAGTTCCGTAAACCTCATTCACTCGGACTCATGAACAGACCAAACCAAGCTGAATTCTGGATGCGACAATTGTTGACACTTACAAAAAATAAGCAAAACTATCTAGTTGGGGCAAACATCGCACAGCGACAAACGTTTCAATCTTGAATAACCTATCTTTCCCTGAATGAGTTCCAGAGAAATTCATGCCCAGTTTTTGAAGCCGTCTTCTATCGAAAACAACATCCGATTACGTTGGAATTAGTTGCAAGTTGACAAATCGCGACAAAAATATGGTCCAACCGTTCTTAACACACTCGAATACTACTAACGCGAAGAGTTTTCAGCAACCTTATGAGTAGTGTATTACATCAATGCTAAGTCCCCCTTGGGTGATGCTTGTGATTTTCAGTAGAACCAAAAAAGTGAGTTACTACTGAGTGCGCGAGAACCGAAAAAAATTTTTCAACAAAATATAACAACCAAAATCGTGACTTACCTTTTCGTTATAACACAAACGATATTCCACGTGCTTCGTATCACAGATGAGCGTCTTCGTGGCTTTTACACTGAGGGCGCAGGTAAAATAGGCGAGATTTCAACCAAGAGGCTAACAAGTGGTCCAAACGGGAAGCTATTGCGTGACATTAACAGGTGGGTTACTTTGGTAAGGCATCTGAAAACGGCGTTGTAACCGAAGATGTGGTAAAATGTTACGCTGGGTAGATAGACGCGCCCGAACCTTGGCCCTGAATCACCAAAAGAGCACACAAACTCTGGATTGGCCAAAGTTGAACTGTTTTCGGTACGACCTTTGGTGTATAATGATTAAATCTCTTTAGTTCATCGCTTTCTTCTCTAAGGGGTGGAATAAGCATAGTATTGTAGCGTTTAGGAACTCCCCCGAAACAAAAGGTGTAAATAGGTTGCTTGCCGTGTGTTGTACATGGCTAGGGTGATACTGGCTAGGGTAACACCAAAGTATCTCTTAAATTCCAATTGACCTAAATCCTGATTGGCTTATTTTGCATAGAAGTTTTTATTGCTTTCTCTGGAAGAACCAATCATTTGAGGGTATGTTTGTTTCAGTATCTTTCTGGAAGCTATTCGAACAGTTTGGTACATGTGTTCACCGATACAGTTTCTTTTCGCTGCTCGAGGATCCCGAGTCTCATTGCTAAAATGCACGTTTGTTATTTGCGCCGAAAGCGCTCGTTTTCTAATAAAGCCCCTAATCAGTAGTGCTCCGCTTGTTTTGTTACCCTACTGATCCTCTGTTTTTCATGATGATTCTGTTAAGTCTTGTGAGACTAAAGCACTATCGATCGTGTGGCTTTGTGTCCCGAAAGTCAGCGAAGAAGCCAACTGAGGGTCTTGACGTGAAACGGATCTTAACTACTACTATGCAATAATTCAGCAACCAGATACCATTCACCTTCTTGCTCTGCCAGCAAAAAAACAACCCCACTCGCTCCCTGTTTGTAGTAGGTTCATGAGTAATAAACATTTGTCTGTCAGGGCTAAAAGACCGGACTGTCTTTTTCAGAGCGTTCCTTTTTGGGGGACACACACCGTTTTCGGTCCAAACTGTTTCACGCTTACTTGGAAGTATCCTTTCTTCAGGGACGCTTTCTTAAAGGCATCGTCGTTATTCCATTAGGCCAGCATTTGTTGCAATAACCATCATGTCTGTCGTTGTCGGTTATTTTGCACAAATTGATCTCTCATTCAGAATTCCACTATTCCATCTTTCGTTGTTATTCGGCATTCATCCTTCAAACCTTCATTCCTAAGCTTTGCACTGGGATTTCCCAACGAACAGGAAAGGCTGTAGTGCAGCTGGTCATACCCAGTGTTTGGTCTTGTCCATAACATGATAGATGGATGAGGTCGGTAACCGCGTGAATGATCCAGTGGCTCGTACAGGTGAACAGTCATGGCAGTAAACGTAACTATACAACCTGATATGACACGTCAGTTTTGGTCAGCCCAGGTGTACAGAACTAGTGAAAGGAAGAAGGCCTTTGCTTCGGAGTTATCTGTTAGAAAATGCCAACTGACCAGTTACAGACTATTGGACAGGGAAGCAAAACCCTCATATGCATCTTGTTTACAAAAACTGAACATGCACCTTCACTTTGAACGCGTCTTCCTAAACTTTCCTGGATATTCATTGACTGTTGCCCAAATTTAAGCAAATGCTCCACAGCGACTGCACAAGTTCCGCAATAGATCTTCCTTTTCAAGAGACGCAAAGCGAATTTACAAGACAACATACTACTCAGATGCCTTCCCTATCAGTAGTATCACCGTTACACTAGTATCGCGTACCTTTTGTTGTATACGGCTGTCTTACCTCAGTCAACCGATGCCAATATAAGCAGAACAAGCCTACTATCAACCTGATATACACATGCTTACAAATGTGAGCTTAGGGGTTCTGTCCAATTGAAGCTAGCCAAGCGGAATGATAGCAAACAACTCTCCTTGGTCTGTCATATCCCTGAATCTCAGTGGACGTGTGCATCGGGCTACAGTACGGGCTGTTTTGTTTGTATGGCTGTGATACTTGGCCTGTTTGAGCAGCGAACCTAAGAAGTCTTCAGGTGCTCGACAACTGTTGTCTCAGAACCATAGCTCGTGTGGGTTGGTGTCCGCGAAACCGGAACGTGGCAGGTAAAAACCGAGTTTTCGTTTGTGTAACGGGGATTTCCATTTGGAAATGTGTCCAGCACCAGAAGCTGTGTTGGTTACGCCATGTATTGCGTATGTTGAATCATCGTCTGCCGAAGAGAGTACTATTATCCGTGCCCAAATCAGAGTGGCGGAAGAGGAGAGATGGGCAAACCCTGATCTGGAAGAGGGGTATGAAAGAGATTACAAAACGTCTGGGTGTTTTCGGTGCTTCTGGTCTTCCAGGATGGAGACCGTCTGGTTGGAGTCGCCGCAGGATATGTCTGCTAATCGATGTCAATGGCGTTCTTGTTGTCAGTTTCTATTCAGATTGCTTGAATAAGTGTCTGGAGGTGTGGAGACCCCAGAATGATTCTGATAGACTAGCACTAAGTCCCTTCCCTGTCTAATTTTACCCTTTTGATTCACAATAACACTTTCAAAATAAATTGTGTTTGTACAGGAACGANTATATATATAGAAGCCCCTTCGAGCCTATTGCCCCGAATAAAGGCTTCCTTAGAGCGACCAATGCACTTCGATCCTGAAAATGCTGTTGTTAGATCGACAGACATGATTGCAGACCCTCCTGATTAACCGGAGGAATTCGGTAATCTCAACAAGGCCTACCGTTTCATCGAAATCCGAGTTTCGTTTGCTACTGCCTATTGAGTTTGACAGCTCAACATTCTGGAAGTTGTGTCCACTACAGAAGGCTATAAAACCCTCCACAGGGTGTGAGATTGGTTCAGTCTAGTCTTGTCAGTGCTAAGAACACGTGGAAACCTCATGAGCTTAGCCGATTGGTGAAGGCTTAATTGATCTAGTTCCTCGAAGGTAAAGTAAGGGTTTTGGCTTCAGCCGGAAAAAACCCTCATGGTATAGTGCTTAGCTGACCTCAGGCCGTTAGCGATTATCAATGCAAGGATTGTGGCATCTTCGAAAATTAGCAAAGGTTCAAAAGTTTCCATTTTTGGCTAATAAAAATCATCTGTCACGATAATAAAAATAAATTTTTCGGCCCCGGAATGTCACGTAAGTTTACTTTCTCCTTAAAAGTTTGCTGCGGGAAAATTTTGTGTATTCGTGTTCAATCATTAACTGATGAAATTGAGCTATTCAAAATGAACACAGATCATGCTATGTGCATGAAAGAATCCAAACATGAGTACAAGAATTCACAAGTTTGTTAACATGGGCTTGTCAAGAGAACCACTCTGCCATGGGCATTGTTCTTTCAGAGATGTTTAATCTGCAGTTGATCAGTCCTACTGTTCAAAGGAAGTCAAAACAGTACTAAAGTGACACCAAAAGCTGCAGAATTCCTGCTTCACCTAATCACAGGACCAGGAAACTACGTGAGATTTGAGGTTTTCGTGTTTCAAGGCCGAGCGGCTTAGCCTTAACTACGGATAATCATACGATATAATGCTCTTCATATTACATGCATGCACACCATATCATACAATACTGAAAAAATGAAAACTTGACCTAAAGTTGATCCATTCTTTTCATAAGGCTAGGGTTTTGGACGACTTGTCTGAATAGGGACCTACCACTCCTACCAGGTCGCACCTGCCTTCTATGTGAGTATGTACCCAAACTACACTAAATTGTTCTACAAAACGTCCTTACTGAGAGTGTATTCTGGGAGGCAGGTCTGTTTCACTCAGTAACCAACCAGTCAATCGGCTTCCTCGAAAGGCTCTTTTCGCACAACCACGTGAAGGGTGGAAGGGGGCCACAGGCGGTCAAATAATGACTTGGCAGCGAATTATAAAAACCATCACCAGCCGTCACTGCCGTCTTCCTGGATGGGGACCCCGAGACGGGCCATATCAATTGCTGGGGGCGCTCGTGCATCCAAACTATTGTCTTCAATGCATAGCTCCCTTCCCAACTAACCCACTTAACAATCCACCTACAGTGCTGTATTTACGCACCAATTTATCAACTCCCACCTCCAATGCGCAGCTACCTACCCCATCTCCCCTAATCATCGGTGAACGAAACTGTAGCAGCTACAATCACTGTACGACGAGTACGCGGTTTTTACAGCTGACAATGATGATGACGATGATGATGACGATGATGGTCATGATCATGATCATGATGATGACGAGTAACCAAGCTCGGGTTATTGTTTTTGTTCTATATGCTCGCTATATTCCTATCCCAGAAAACCTTCCAAGCCTGACTAAATTAATGAGACGTCCAGTTATTTTACATTTAAGAGTTGCGCAAAAGCCTGGAAAGGGGAATAAGGCAGCTTGTGCGTACTATCAGAAGCAAAACTCACCGAAACCCATGGCATCGTTTCCGACGATACTGAGTTCCGGTCCCGCAGGATCTTGAGCATGTGGTCCAGGCTTCATATTCATCATAAACTGTAGAAATCAATGGGGGCTGTTGTATCTCCTTACAGTCCCCCCGTATGCATTCCTAAAAGGAAACACAAGGATAAGGGGCAGCTCGGGTACTGAGCTAGTGTCATCATTATCATCTGAAAACGGCACCGGCGGTCAACAGACCGCGTAAAGTCAAGTTGCTTAGCATGGCTGTCTGACAGGTTTGATTGAGTGTGGGCGAACTGAAACGTCTTACTCGGTCAAGTCACTTCGCAGACAATTGAAGTGAATTCGCAGATAGAATGACAGAGCATCCAATCAATCAGTTGGAATCAGACGGGGTCTTAGGCATGATTGCTATTCAGCCTACCATGATTTCATACTGGTCTACCGGCATGCACCCTAGCTCATTTCCTTTCTCCTAATTTTTGTACTCATAAAAGTCACTGGGACCCGAACCAAACCGATGGTCAAATTATACATGTGACCTGAAGTCAACCGATATATCTAACCCCTTTTTCCGATGGTTCGAAAGGCATAGATCGATAAATTACTTGGTGGAAATGACATTCTAATGACGAGAATTGTCTTGTGTGATCAACTACAAACGCGATTCTCAATCTATTTGAATAGAGATTCTATCTTACAAGTGAGAAGCACCAGCAATGTGAATGTCACTAGGCCCTGTGAATCTTCTGGGTGAGAGTTTAGGGATTTTGGTCAAAATTAACCCCTTTCCGCATCAAAGGAATTGTTGACAGCCTCGTTCTTTCAGAATGCCCTGTAAAATGCATATATTGATTAGTCGCCCAAGTTCCATATATTTGGAGGTTAAATCCAACATAAGTGCGACCATTACCTGTTATTTCCTCAGTCACGAATTAGATCTAGTCTGTGGGGGAACATGATCACATATGACCATGTACTTCATACCTTTGAACGTTAAAACAAACATACATCAAAGGGTAGTGATGTAAACCTTATGACTTTGTTCGAACTTAAGGTCATTGGGGTTCTTCGATGAATGCGAGATTTCCTGAAGGCAGGCCACTGGTACACACATTGCCGCGCTGTCCACTGGTGGTCAGTTATCTGCGTTCCACCAATTTTGTAAACGCGCGGCAATGTCCCACGTTGGCCAATTACATGGGAGATTTCTTCATTCGTTCTTCATTCGTTCATTCGTGCCCTTATTGGTAGGCGTCTTGCAAAGCCCATTCGTGCGGTGTCCGCGACCAATCATCTCCGTAATCGATAATCACGGAAAAATTTCACGCACTTACCGGTAAGAACCAATCTACCGACCTTCAAAGCATGACTCACCTTTCCGTCACCACAAGTCGTACCGTCCAACATTCCATGGTTCAGGATCTTCGAGCATTTCCCAATCGGCTCCGGCATGAAGCACCATAACTCACGACAGGGATGCTCTCCGAACTGTTGGGTGAGAGAATAACAGGTAAAACTTTTCTTCCTTGTTTTACTTCCTTTGTTAATTGAAAACCAGGGTATAGCACGAAAAATCAATACTAGATGATTTCGAGTGAAGTGATCTCGTTTGTCTTGAAACTACATACGTAAACTCTGCCTGACTGATGAGTCCTAAAAGTGGACTTTTGCGGATTTCGAGCAGTTAATCCATACTACTTATTCCCAACCTGAATTTGTAAAATGCGAGGAAGTCTTTTCAGCAATAACTTTAGTTCGAAATGGATCCTAATAATTGGAACAAAATGGCGTGCACAATCTGCTGGGTCTTGCAGTGATCAGGTTGAGTGTACAAAAGACTGTATTCACCAACTTTCGTAACTCTAAAAATAATTATGCTAAAGTAGACGGTAATTTATATCTATGTTCGTTTACTTCTTAGATTACCTATTATTCCTGACGGTATGTATCGAACTAAGGGCAAAAATCGATGAAACGCTAATCAGTCGATATATTGAAAAATATTCATCAGCCGAGGCAGTTTTTATTGGCACAAAACCACTGGCATCAGGGCTAACCGCAAGGAAAAATCAAATATTCTGTCTGGAATTTTTTCCACTTTCCGGTAGTGCTGTTCGTCCGAGCCAATTCTCTTAATCTTTTTACGCCTAACCACTTTGAACGGGGTCCAGTACGTGACTGTCTTACTGTATGAACGGACCAGGACTTACTTTGGAACAGTGTCGGCTTGCATTGGAACCTGTAGAAACACGACATTGTTCATCTAGTGACCACTGCCATCCGGGGAATCCATCGATTGCAAACTGATCGCGTCCGATTGGAAAATCTTCCAGGCATTCCAGCCTATTCAAGCTGAAATTAGATGCAATGATAGATTTTAAACGAAGGAGCTTAAGAAGGAACAAAAACACAAAAAGACCGAGTTTTGCCGTCCTGAGCCGATATCAGAAGGCTTACTTTAGTAAACTGGGAAGGCTACGCCTGCACTTGATGGGCTGTGAACAGTTTCGAGCGTACAAAATGACGCGATCTAACTGCGCATAAAACGACTTCTCTATCCTATCTGAGGTATTCCCATAAGATAATTCCCCTAGCAACAACAGTGTAGATAAATTTGAATCAATTTGAATACTTCGTTCCCTACGGATGAGAATCAAAAGAGAGAACATTAGGGGGTGAGATGTCTCCTGCACGGACGTTTTAATTGGGGCATAGGTGACTTCAGGAAGCATAAACACAGCCCAGTTTTTCGTCACCAGAATAAAGTAAACATCTCTGTGTTGTTCCCGGATAAGAATAACAAAGGATTCGTTTCACTCTAGGAAAATGCTCTATTTTAGTGCGAAAAACATGGGTTATTTTAGGTTACAAACAGCACTGTGCACCGCCTCCTGCATACTTATCGGAGGTTCAGAAATTTTTGACCTGGTTGGCCCCCTGTCTGGCTGGCTCAGCGACAATGTGCTCGCATTACTGACTAGAGCAGAGCATAGATAATCGGATAGTCGAAACCCGTATTCGCTTTCGGTGATGCACTCATCTGATTGGTGGGTGGGTGGTTTCACAAACCTGCGTCATTATTGGCTGACAGCATCGACATTTTGCGCAGCTCCAATCTCAGCTTAGTTTCCGTGTGACCTTGTAAACGCACAGCCTTTGTCGATGAGGGAAAACCGATCAATTCAACCAGGCTCGACAACGGATGTGGTAACAATTGTCAACACCGACACAGGTCCACCTGCCATCTTGAATGACTGACGTTATGGGCACTACCAATGACCCAGCACGCAAAACTGACAACTTTTTTCTGGTGAAACTTGGCTTGGCCTGGTAGACAGTATCGCTTCTAACAATCACACGGCATCATGCGCTGGAAGTTACTTAGATGATGTACACCTCAAATATAATGAGGCCGAATTTAATGCACCACAATGCAGTGACCACTGATTCCGTATTAGGATGTTCCTTGACCAACTCACCTCGCTCCTCAATTCTTATTCCTTATGATATAAGCTGACAGCTACTCTATAAGCATATTAGTACTAATATAGCTGTAAGTGATTAGTGACCACCCTCAGTTTCCGATCCAAAGAATGTAGATGTTTTGAGATATCTAAATCACCTAAAACTTCACCCGGTTAAAAAAAACTGCGATGCTCCTCTCTACACGAACGATAACTCTCAGTAGAAGAAACAGTTTGGTAACACCCGGTGTTTTACCAGCAGGATAGGTGCTTTCCGAGTCGCTTCTTATACCTTCCCACGCCTTTCTGTGGGGCTTCGAGGAATGATGAAGCATATATGTTAAACTTGGTGTGAATGCCATGAAATGGTGTGTAGTGCAGTACCTGTAACTTATTGTGGCGACGTTCAGTCTGAATAGGTCCTACGTATCATCCTGGTTTTAATTGTTAGCCAGTTCGGATGAAATCGGGACCAAGAAGCTTGGTGTATTCCTTTAAACTTAGCAGTATTAAGTAGTTAGCATCAAGTTGCCCGTGAAATGACCCGTTTTGAGGGTGTTCACCATCAGGAGTCGGATATTTCTAACACCTGTGTATGAACCCACACTACAGATTCACTCATAGCTGAGTATTTTGAACCAGATCGGTAAAACATAAGTACATATCTGTAATGTACTACTCAGCTGGGTTCCAGGTGAGTCTCTCAAAAGAACCAAATTAGTTTGCAGATGAGTGTACATTCGATAAGTACACATCGTTTTCATTTTGGGGTTTCTGGATTCCTTTACAAAATCCTGTCAAACGGCAAACGATTTGGTGATTTCAAACAGGTCAGTTTTTGAAGTCCCGGCAAGGTCAAAGGGTATTCAGAATAGTTTTATTAGTAAGCCACTAAACTCGTACTTGGAAGAACTTAGACGAGAAAACCCCCCACTGATATAGAAAGTCACAAGTTCTCTTCTCATTTGACACCATTTTAAGTGTTATCACATCGAAGTCCTGCCTCCACGAAACTGATGAAACAGATGTTGGGCTCTGGAGCCAGTAAAGAATATTTTCTTTTGAAGGGTGATTCACATTTTACCAGCAGGTTTTTTAATCTCAAATTTGAATATCCAATCAAAACATGGATAGTCTTATTCATTTTACGAATTTCAAGGAACTTTGATGCCAGTCATCAATTTATTGAATCTATACGAGCTCTTCTAATAGGACTTGTCAGGTTATGCTTGCAATGGCATGTTTCATATGGACAGTGGTGCGACTTGTTATAATATAGCTTCCGTTTTTTCACCAATTCTAACTGAACCATATGGACCAGCATTAGCAGAATGTGACGTAGGATGTTCTCTTTGACAGCCAAAGATATGAGGTGAATGTTCGACAGGAAGTTGAACCTTCCTTGCTTACCTTCGGATTTTCTTCAACTTGCGACGAGTGCAAACACTCCAATGATGGTTGTGACTGGCCGACAGAATGAGTGGCGCCATAATGTTTCCCGTGCGGCCAGACTGATCACACGAGTTCCCATCGCCATCATGTTCAATTCCAAGGCTGTTGGGCAATGTAGGGGAGAACAGACTGGTTAGTTCATCGTTGTGACGATCACCTAACCGAAAGTTCCCCTGCTTGTTACCTAAAGAATGTCTCGGTGGTACCGCCAATTAAAGGTGGTTTCCTTACTAAATTAACGCTGTATAGGTCTAAAGAAATTTTAACTTTGCCTAGCCTCCGTTTTTCAACCCGATTATAGTAACCAACTCATCTGAACGGATACTAGGCGACCATCTGCCTCATACTGGGGCGCCTATTATGGAAAACACCCGTGATTATTTAATGGAGATTTCAACCTGTTAGTGAAGCCGATCTGCCCAGAAAACGTGAGAAGCACTGTACGGCTTCTTCATCTTGTTGGGAGTCATCAGCAGTGCCCATCTCAAGAAACTCAGAGAATTTCGAATCCACGACCGTCTCGCCCGTGGTTGAACAGTGGCCAAGAGTGGCTCACCAGCAGTGTGGTTAGAAAACCTCCAATGAGAAAAAGATTGCCTCGTGAAAAAATGTTTTTTAGTCGGCAATGGAGGTTGATTTGTATTTGTTGATTCCCCCTGTGAATCAACAGTGAACAGCGGTAACTTTCCTTGTTTTCTGGCTACTCATGAGTAACGCGACTTGCGCCGTTTGTTTCGTTGCTGCTCGTTTTTTACCCGCGTTTCGTCCCTACGGAAGGTCTGCTTATTCTGCAGTAACCGATGTCGATATTTTATTGCCCGTCCGCCATTGCTTGCAAGTTCGTATCGGTTCTACCCATTTTCGAGCGTCCTTTCCGACTGGAAAGCGGACCGACCGGGCATCGAACCCCGAGTTCCCTGGCGGTAGGCGAACGTGCCATCTACTACACCAGTATGACACCCGGAGCGGTCTATTATTTTGTACTACCCATGTACTGCACCTGCCAAACGGCCTCTGGCGAGATTTGTTTTAAACGGACGAAACCGCGTAATCTGACTTGTCACGTGACACGAGCTGCGGCGTCGCGCCGCCAACCAAAAGACAGCCCCTCGCATCCCAAACATACTGATTTCTGCACCGTTATCTCTCTACGGCCAACTCACACTGTCAGGCTGCCCGTACGTGCGTTTGTAAATCGTTTAGTGCTTACTTTTTGTTGTTTTTAGAAATCCCTGCTGCGTCAGTGACCATTTTCTGCTCCTGCTGATTGCGTCATCATTGATTGTACGTTTGCTTAATTCATGATGATTACTAATCCGTTTGTCTGTAGAACCAGTTCCTGTCAGTCCTCAATACATCATCTGCTCCCCACGTCTGTCTGCTCCTATTGACGACTGGCTACGAATTGCGTATAATCTAATGACGCAATCGTCCTGTGAGATCCATAACAGCCCGGATCGTACAGTACCAATAGACTGGAGGTAAAAATCTATGCGCTCAGTGCATCAGCTTCTTCGAGTGGACAGGATTCCAGGATACACATTAACACAAGTTACATTTGGACAGGAAGAAATGTGTTGCCTAGGATTTTCACTTTTGCTTTATCCTGAATCTATCTATCTGCATACCACAGACGTTTCTTAATATCAAAAGTTTGCATAGAAAAAATAATAGTCCGCCTAGGACAGCCTGTCAAGTTCAACATGATTCAAGGATCGAATTGGATCAGTTTTTCAAAGTTGACGATCTCTGACATTGGAGTGTCGGTCCTAAGATTATGTATTGGGCTTACTCAGGTCGATGAGAGTATGTTCATCTCCAGTTATGGGCATAATGTTGAACCCAGACAGTTCGTTCTTCGATTGTATGTATCAGGAAGGTAACCTCAGAACACCCGGAACCTACTGCTCCACCAAAAACTCAACAGGAAATTCGTGCATAATACGTTGCTGATACATTTCTCACTTTGCTGCACATTTTGTGAGCCCACTGAAGCACGACCAATTGTGATCAGCGTTGACGCCCTTCACAGATGCACGATGGATGTTAATGGGTGTTCACTAACGCCTATCAGACAGCCTGGATCAATGTCAGAAAGTCCCCTTTAAATAGCATGGTGTAACCTTTGCTCTCACAATCGCTTGTTCGGAATATAGCGGCTGTGCTCCCTTCTGTGAGCCTTCTTCCCCGGCACTAGGCACTTGAGCGGGTTAGCAGCAGATACCACAGGTTGGCGAATCAGCAGATATGACAGTATGCTTTCACAGAAGTGATCACCACGTAGTACAATACGCCATAAGTAGATTATAGTACTTGGATCAGACGGCATATGTCTATGTCTGCACAACATAGGCTGCTCAGTCATGCTCACGTGACAGTTGGCTATGCCTCTGCACGAAGGTGAAAGGTTCCTTTTTGAACTCGTACGTGAGTCAAAACTACTGGAAAACGAAACCAGCTGGGGTCTTTTGTACGTCGTATGTATCACCTACATATCGCGTGATACACAGTGCATGAGGAGCGAAGGCATCCAACCAGGTTTGTTTTCTTTCTTACTGATTGTGCGGGGCGACTGCTTACAGTCTGGGAGCAGCATAATCTCAGGTTCAACATGTCTATGACTTGTCAGCCGGCTGAAGTTCACAAAGTATGGGGCAATGAACTCCTGACCTAAAGAGGGAGATGCTGGAACAGTATACATCACTAATTAAACAAACTGTCAACTGACACGTTTTTGGAGGTGCACATTTTTAGTTCAAGACTGACACACCACTGCAGAGAAGAAAAGACACCTAGGCACAACTTCGAAAGAACTAAGGGGCCAATATTCTGGGTGCTTTAAAATCCTACGAAATGTGACAACCCAACCAGTCGTCAATAGGCATACAAGGAAACAACGACTGCAGATTGTTGACCAACTCATCCATGTGACCAGTTTAGCACGGCTGAAAATTACCTGTGCATTATTTCATGAGCGATTGGATAGGCGGAGAAAAAACCACTATCTTCTGCCAGCGTGCACGAGTATTGCATGTGACACATGTGTCCAAGAGGAGAAATGCCTGAAACACAAACAAACAGAACCAATGAGATAACCATCGATGTGGGGAGGGGGCGGCAAATACTACTCAGTTGTCTTCCTTCACAAGGGCACGAAAATCCATGTGTTCATATTTAGAGAAATGATGTTCCTTTCGGAAGCAAGGCTTTTAATATCTGTGACAAATGACACAAAAAGGAGCCTAGCTCGGTCTTTTAGACTAGCCCATTCAGTTGAAAGATAGCACAAAACATAGGTTCAACTTGGACTCCGTTGGATCTCCAGTTAAAATGGGTTCATTTTTTGGAAGATGGATATCTCCACCAGGTGTACAGAGGTACGATCAACACACAAAACGAGTGAATCTTCCGTCTGAGGAATTGGCACACAGTGAGTTAGTCAACACTTGATGCGGACCCCGTGATGGAGGGATGATTAGGTTTCTATCTTAGTGAATATACGCTCATTTGCAAACGAGTTTGGTTTTTCGAGAGACTCACCTGTAACCCTGGAACATCACAAACGAGAGATTTAGCTGGGTTCCAGGTGAGTCTCTCGAAAAACCAAGTTAATTTGCAAATGAATGTACATTCGCTNNNNATGAGTGTATATTCGCTAATTTCGTGCAATTTGGTTTCAAGTAGAACATAAAGTTGACGGAAACCCGGGGACTGTGCCTACCTGATGAGCCCCAAAAAGGGCGAAACTGGTCGTGGGCTGTCGACGGATTTTCAGCAACCTTATGAGTAGTACGTTACAAAGCGTTCTGTCTTGTCTAAGATGAGGTAACACACTGCTAATCAGCTTTTCGTGGCTGAATGGTCAAGTGCTGTAAACAGTAGCTGTAAAAACTAGGTCATGAGTCCGAACTCCACTGGAGACCAATGATTCATTAAAAAAGTTCATAAAAACCTTGATCCTGCCAAGACGACGTTGTATCACATCCGAAAACTCATGTGAGTCCATCGATTGCTTCATTGTGCTCTGCGTCCACTGGTATAAACTAGGCGAACCAGTTCACTGTTGCAACCGATGATGACAAGACACTGCATGAATGGTGTTCTCGTACAAGCCTTCTCCCCAGAAATTCTGGCAGTTCACTTTTGAGAGCTTAGTCCCGTAGCTAATGACAAATATAAACCGGTGTTTAATATTGCCAGCTGATTGTTGGATAATTGACGTAACTTACCCGGTTCCTGGTATACTTGCGAATCTAGTAACAATATTAACAAAGTTTGGCCGGATAAGAGTGGACACATTCAGTTAAAAAAACATCATGCTGTTTTGACCGATCTGGTGATTTACTTTGGTATGAGTAAGAATGTTTCACTAGCAAAGAGACTTGAGAATTCGTAGGAACTAACTGAATTTTCCTTCAGTGAGTTCATCAAGGCCCCGTTTGTCAGAAATAATGATACTGTCTGAGAAAGGTTGAACTTTCCTTTTACTTTCTCTCTTACTTACTTACTTACTTACTCACTTACTTACTTACTTACTTACTTACTTACTTACTTACTTACTTACTTACTTACTTACTTACTTACTTACTTACTTACTTACTTACTTACTTACTTACTTACTTACTTACTTACTTACTTACTTACTTACTTACTTACTTACTTACTTACTTACTTACTTACTTACTTACTTACTTACTTACTTACTTACTTACTTACTTACTTACTTACTTACTTACTTACTTACTTACTTACTTACTTACTTACTTACTTACTTACTTACTTACTTACTTACTTACTTACTTACTTACCTTTTACTCACGGTGTTTTCTGTTTGACAGACTGCTGTAAGATGTAGGCCGAAGGACTCGGGCTTCTGTGAACACTAAATCTAGCCACCTGACTACTGGTTGTGGGATTTTTGGAAACTGATTATTACCTTGGACAGTTTTTCTCCTATTGTGGTGAGATTGTCTTGGTACTCTATGGAGGTGCGGCTCTGCGGTCAGGAATCGCTCCTACTGAAGCCTATCAGCGGTGCAAGCAATTGGCCGGTTTCTAACTTGGAATATTTAACCTTGTTGCCAGTGCTCCACCAGCGCGACGCATCTGAATAACTATGGATGGACGAGTGAGCGTTCGCTTCGAGTGGTGAACCAGTGAACTGAACAGCATGAACTGGTCGTAAAGCGTGGACCAATTTAGACAAAGAGCCTACCCAATCAATTAGATACACAGGAGGTTCATTTCCGTCCGTCATTCGAGGAACCAGTCAAATTTAGCCCGCTTAACGTAAATTGTGTGACTGCAACACAAATGAAACTCATTTTCAAGTGCAAATCATCATCATCATCATCATCGACCGCATGACTGCCATACAACCATGATTTGTCTAAAAGCCTTGTAAACAAAAGAGTAAAGGTGGACGGGGAGTGGACTTTGTGCTAGCTTACCACAATCATTCCGACGTGCCTATACCTCCAGACAATCACTCAGGCGATCTGGGTAGAAACTGACAACAAGAACTACACTGGCCTCGGTTGGCAGCCATATCTTGTAGTTTCCAACCAGGCACAGTGAGGATCACGCGGTCCTCATCCTGGAAGGTGGGTAGCACCGACAGCACCCAAGCGTTTCGTGATCTCCTTCATACTCCTCTGCCAGGTCAAGGGTTGGCCACATCTCTGTTCACACCACTCTGAGTTGGGCATGGAAAACAGCACTCTCTTCGGCAAACGATGGTTCGGCATACGTAACACATGTCCCAACCAACGCAGCTTCTGGTGCTGGACACATTCTTCAATGGAAGTACCCGTTACACAACCGAAAACACGCTTTCTAACTGCCTCGTTACGGATTCGCCGACACCAACCCACACGAGCTATGGTTCTGAGACAACGATTGTCGAACACCTGAAGACGTCTCAGTTCCGCTGCTCGAATTGGCCAAGTTTCACAGCCACACAACAAAACAGCCCGTACTGTAGCTTGATGCACACGTCCCTTGAGATCCAGGGATAAACCACTCTGACGCCATAGGTGTCCCAACTTAGCTAATCAATGACTAACTACCCATATCCACTTGGCACAGTATCGCAGATCGCACTTGCAAAGTTGTATGGTTGAGTTTGGTGAATGGTTGCAAGGGTAAACTGTCTTCGGACTATTCAGCGACAGCTGGGCATCGAAGATCTTCTCACTGCCTACACTAGTTGACGACATCGTGTAAGATGCGATTATGCCGAAGGCGTAGTTTTATCGAAGAATTTGACCTTAGGTAGAGACTGTGTAATCACCTGTGGATTGAATTTCAGCCAGTCGGTCAGTCAACGGCCGAATAGAAAAGAATAAGAAGAAAAATGAGTTGACGAACATGTTCCCGGCTTTATTGATCATTTACATTCCCCCGCGAACAACAAAAACAGCGCCTGAGGATTAACTAGACAGAATATACTCACAAATTGTAGGTGTAAAACCCAGAGCAGATGACAGCTTACCGGCGGCCTGAACAATGTTTCTGGACAGTAGAAGAGCGTGGTCATAATTGTATTTGACGTAATGGTTAACCAGAGCCCACTTGCAGAAGCGGTGAACCGATCGAATCAGTGAAGGTCCCCACAGTAGTGCACTGGACTAAAAATTGTGGAGGTTGTGATACCAAAAACATCAGCAACATGAGAACAAAACATCAAATAAAAACGTAACTCCCGAGTGTTCTATGTGTAAACAAACTTAAGTGGCTTGCGTCACCGATAGTAACCACTTGCACCATATCCAGGCAACTCAGGTAGCTGAGATAAAGCATATCTACCTAAAATAACAGGAAATCACGTCAGTCTCAGCCCAAAACTTACAGACTCCCCCTTTAAATTCAGAAAGATCTTAGGTCGTTCATTCTGCCATACTACACACTTCCTTAGAATTTTGAATTCACAATGTTTGGACGGGACATTGTAAGCAGGCTTGTCACGTGATTTGTTATCGATTCATTTAGACCGTCTGGATAATACTGTGATGAACACAGACGGTTATACGCACTGGTGCTGGGACATCTACACCTGCACTGCACATGAGAGTGTTTTGGTAAACATTAGGTGAGTTTCAGCGAGGACTGTGAATTGAATGTCATTAAATGTTTTCAATATTTCTCTCTAGTTGTCAGCTGCTATTCAATACACGAAACTGGAGAAATGGATTGTAGACGCTTTGTCACCAGCCGAGTTGAAATCACCACTGAGCGACAGATCAGTATTACGTCACTGTTTGGCGGTGCATCGGCGTGAAGGCCCTGAGCAATGTTGTGCCTGTGTGCGCGTCACTGACCAGGGGGCAAGTGTCAACCTTGCTGGTTAGTTAGTTCACCCGTTTTCCGACAGTTTGTGACTCGCATTCGGTTACCTTTGTACTGTCCGTTTTGCGGTTACCAACTGTGATGGCTCATCCGCCTGTGGCATCGATAGTTCTAGTTTAGGTATGTGGTTAGATCGACGATCTTTTTGCTCGTGGTGGTATGTAGATTGGGTTTGTGACGAGACCTAGTGCTTTTCGTGTGCTTCTACAGGCCAAATATTTTACTTTTCTAGACTAAATATGTGTTTTCCTCGGTATTTGTTTATGAAAACCAGGTACATTGGGTCAAGTTTCTGCGCCATCTTCTGACCGTAGAATTTGAGATCAACACACGGACTCAGTGAGTCCAGGGCGGACACTTCACACAAACGGGAGAATGTGGGAACAGGGGACACAATTACTCAGTTCCTAAGATCAGACACAATCCACTAAGTGAGACTGAGTGTCTTGTTTGGTAACGGCCGAAAAATTCCGTTGCCAACGCTAACACACCTCAGCGTTGAAATGGACCAAAGGACTGCCCAAACAGCTGAAACACAGCGTCAGACAGAGGAATCACCGGAGAGGATAAGCAGTGCAACTAACGGGAGAGAGATCCCGAGTAGTCATCAAAGTATTCAAACCCAAAGGTAATCCGGAATTCGGTCAATCAGAACACTGCATCCACCATCCAAACCACTAAGGTCATTCTGATCAACCAATGGTGCATAAACAAAGCACAGCGCCGATCAATAATCAGAGAAGCACCGCTACCCAAACCTCAGTAATGATGAAACATCTGAAATAAAACTGCTCAACTCGGATCACAACAAACCGATCTAATTCCGTGTTTGTCACGAGTTTCTTTGCAACTCAGCTGTCTGTAGCGCTTTGCGAAATGGTTTTCCTGATTACCTCAATTCCACTGAAAAGAAAAAATTGCATTTTAGCCGTTAACCGAAAAGAGTTCACCACAAATCGGGCCCATAGTTTGTTGAAAAGTAATTTCCAGTATCTAGCGCAAAGACGCAAAAATTCAAAAGTAAGTGCCACAAAACTCAATCTCCTCTTGTCACGTGCCTTGTACAAGCTCCCACTGTAGTGTCACTAATGTTGTGTCGTCGAAAACCTGAAATTAGCGATGATATTTCCATTCATGCTGTTTAGGTTTCTAACTGGAGTACCAGCTCAGTCTCGGTATAATGAAGGTTTGTGATTTTGTGTGCTTACTGCGCTAGTCTAGTGTGGTAGGCCTGAGTAAGGCGGAAAAGACACCTGCGCCTGATGATTTGCAGTGTGTGAACCAGTACTTGATCCTGTTTGTATATCTCATCCTCGTGACGATCACTGGAAATGTTGCGTAGCTCAGTATTTGACTTTGCTCAGCAGCATCTTATTGGCTGTCAACTATCGCCCCTTTCGTGAGCGAAGAAGACACTCCAAACTTGTAATCACCAGCAGAACCTGAATGCCCCTGTGGACGCGTCGTGCGCTTTTCATTTATCTGTTCCGTTGATGTGAAGGGTGTCTTGATTTGGCTCAATGAATGATGCTAAATGTTGAAAAATCTAATCCGAATGCAGTGGGATTAAAATCCAACTTTTTGGGCTTAATACACGCCTTTGTTTTGGAACAGTTAAAAATTGTCATCGTTAGTCTCCTGTGGGTCTCCCGAAAAACTGTGATGGTCAGGCTGAAATGTTTGGTCAACTACTGAATGAATTGAGCCTTAGGTGTGCAGAGTTGGACAATGATCTGTTTACTGTTTCCAGATGGATCATCAGGTGGGTCAGAGGCCCCAACAAAACAACCCATTGATCCACGCCCCTAACGGCTTTGACTGTGTTCCGGCTTTATCTGTCTCATAAAAGCGCAGAGCTAGCTAAACCTCAGTCCTTAAACTTCACCGTTTTTTTTACCGTATTGTGTAGGTCAGCAAAACACGCGTACAACTACACAAGTATCCATAACCCGCAAACTGGGTTGATGATCGGTGCGAAAAAGGAATGAAGGAACACCAGTTTATCACACAAGTGTGTAGATTCGGTGATATATCCTTTCCAGCCTTCCAACAGTACAAACCAGCTGATTTTTTATGCGTTCACAATGGGATGTGTCGTGTATTCTGTGTGAACAAATGACATTGCTGCTAAGCCTTAACCGAGGTATGGAGATACCCAGTCAACATAAAAAAATACGTGATTTTTGACAAAAATCATTACGCTCAAATGAGACCATTAGGAGTCACCTACGATCCCCTCAAGCCGATTCCGCTTTGACAACAATGAGCCAACTCAAGCATCAATTTTCGTACCAATCATGGCGTGTCTGGGGCTAATATGTAGCTGAGAAGTGGCTCTTACCAACTAACAGCTGATCAACCGAGTCATTCGCCCCCACACACACGGAATCAGTCACATCGTGTGCAAACCAGACACCATATTGTCTCAGCGGGTCTTCTCCCCCGAGAGCAGTACTCAATACAGTACGCGTCAAGAGACAATTGACAACTACTCACACCACATTCACACGTGACACGCCTTGGATATGCATCGATCAACTGGAATACTGTGTTAAGTAAGGAGCTCATATAACACAAAAATTCTTTTCTATTTAGTGCCCAGAATATTCCTCATATCCAGGGAGAGTCATCCAAATCCACATAACTAATTGATGGGGCTGATGAAGGAGCAGGAAGTGGTCGTATTCACGTGATTCGCAGTAGCACAAATTACTTTGTGAAGAGATTGTGAATTCGCACATGGTTTTTACGTCTGTCTCGAGCAGCCAGAGGTAGATTGTTTGTCTGTCAACCTTGTGTAGATTTGGCAAGGGTGGGTGGAGAGTTTTCAGAAGAACTATTCACCATCTTAAGTTGTTGTAACCGGAAAATCTAATGCAACGATTTTGCATGAAAGCTACTCAGAACATATTGATTTTAAATGAAAGTCTCAGTACAGCAAGAGGAAGTTGGTGTCTTCCTGCGTGAGGACGTCATTTGGAAAAAGATGACTGTATAGAAATCGCGGCTGAAAAGAACAATTTTGTGAGGTCTGCAGAGTACCAGCCGGTCTTTGGAAGGTAGACCTGACTTCCACGAGAAAGTTAGACCTTGGTACCTCAGTGTCTTGCAGCAAGTGGTGGCAGTTTGCTGGGAATGAAATAAGCCCCACTAGCCATGAAGGGCAGATGACAGAGTGACATCAACTGAACAGTTACAGACTAGTGGACAGGAGAGCAACACTCTCACATGCATCTTGTTTACAAAACTGAATATCCATTTCCTCCTTGAACGCGTCTTCCTGAACTTTATTGGCTATCCTCTGACTGTCATTCAAATGCAAGCAAATGCTACAAAGCGACTCCACAAATTCCGTAATAGACCTCATTTTTCAAGAGACGCGAAGCGGATTTACGAGAAAACATACTACTCGCATGCCCCATCAGTAGTATCCACCGTTCCACTAGTAGCTGGTGCTTGTTTATGTGATTATCATATTCAGAAAACAAGTGTGCCCGCGGTTGCTTTGTCTTTAAGCTGATGGAAAACTGCTCTACGTTTGTCGCTTCGTTCTGGTTCCTCTCACCTTCGTTCAGAGCAATGGTCTATGTTCAGTAATACTTTATAGGAAATCATATTCTTCTCTGGTTTCCAAGGGAAACACCGCCATTGCCTGAATCTATCTTAATGAAGGAAGTCCCAAAGTTTATTAACGTATGGCAGGTTTACAAACGGTATTTTTTCAGCTTATTTAGCTATGCTACCCTTTTCCTGAAGGAACCTTGTCCGATGGACAGACTAGACTATCTCTTGAACTCCAACAGGACTTGGGACCAAAGATTTCGTTCCTTTTTTGGAAACGCTCTGTCTCTTGCAGTGGCACCGTGATTCTTCAAAAGATTTAGAATTCACAGCCGAGTCGATTGATGCGCAACGATGAAACTGTACTAGAGTGTCCGTGGTTCATACATTTCCACGAATAACGAATAACATAACAAGAGACACCGTGGTAAGTTAAAGGCACTGACCTCCCGTTCACTGATCCACACTATTTCCCGCACGGAGATGCTTAGATTTGTGCCCAAAGAGTTGTGGTGAAGTAAGTCGTTGGTCTGAAAAATACGAAAACAAACGCTGTGAACGATAGATTTGAAAGGGAATATGTGTACTACCCATACGTAGCTTTGAATCTGAAGTCCCATTCTTTACTAGACCTCAGCACGTTCACTATGTGCGTGATGAATTAGGGCGTTCGAACAACAGCTTAAATTATAAACGGGAAAAGGAGGCTTGTTCACACTTTTAGATTAATCGCGGGGCTTTCGACCGATACTGACTAGTACATCCGGTCGATGATCAGGAACAATATATGCTTAGTGCGAGAAACGGCCACCGTCAATCGAATCCGTTTTGTATGCTTGAAGTTCCAAGCATGGCCTGACCTTCTGACCCGATTGTTGCTGAGTAGTCAACGAGGGGTTAATGAACAGGTCCTTTGTAATAATAATGGGTGTACGGAGGCTAGCCGTCCCTAATAACCGAACACCACATCATTTGGACGGATGTGTCACGCGCAGGACACGGGCCAAACGAAGGCATGCCCTGATTGGTCAGAATGCCAGCCAATCCGAGGCACGCACCTGTGACTCGGCGCTTCTCGTCCTCTCACGGAGATTCTGGCACGACCTGGTGGACACACTGTGACTGCCTCATAAATACAGCTGTAATAATTTTCCTTTGTTTCGATAAAGGGCTGTGTAAAGCTACCGTACCTTATGATATAGCATAGTGGGCGGAGCAGGAAGCCAAGGGACTGATACAGAGTTGCACTACCGTGCATCAAGTCACGACAAAGGGTCACTAATTAATCGGGTTATTTAAATTAGTCAATAACTGATCACGCAAGAATCCCATTCAAATCAATATCCAATGAGAAGGCGCACCAGTCCATTTCCATTGAAAATTTCCACACTTTTTCTCAATATCGATTATTCACAGATAGCTGAGGAGAAGAGAATTACCTAAAAAGAGTCAAGTGAAAGGTGAACGCTGATTGATGAATGAATGGCGTTATAGCTCGCCTAGTTGCGAGTTAGTCACATTGCTGATCAGTCGCTAATGGCCGAGAAGTGGTGAGTTTCGTGAAATGCAGAGTAGTGATGACACTCAATGGGGAAGAAACAACTGTACCGTGTTCCTCTGCTTTTCATCATAGATTGGTTTCAATTTAAGAACGAGACGTCCTCACGTTATCAGAAATTGGTTTGCCTGAATATTCCCGTAATTTCAATAAAAACGCAGAGTAACGTAAATCATCGTTATTGGGACCACGTTGCCACGTCAGCACAGCTACAAGTGGCTCCTAAATTTAAAAAATGTGAAAACACGGATAACTGAGTATCAGTGAAACCAAATCAAGGGGATTCTGTAAAGTGGGCCATAGAACCGCTGAGTGACCAGGTTGGTTGATATGAACAAGGCCATCTCAAGGCCCGTAAGGTTAGTTTTTGACGGCGCAGTACCGAATTTCCCAACCATATTGTGACCGCTCTCGCCGTAGTCAGAAAAGGCCGTTGGATCAACACTGCCAGCTTGCGCGGCACTTACTTGGACTGGTCACGTGACCTGAGTCAGTGTGGTACGACTGGACCTTTTTACCGTACCGAACAAGCGAGTGCGAGAGCGTGAGCGCGTGCGAGTGCGAAAGTACGACGATCTCAAGCTATTTACTGGAGGGACACTGTCGGTATCTCAAGGTATTCACTGGAGGGACACTGTCTAAACTTGGTCAAATACTGACGCACGCATCTGGCTTTGGTACGAGGCTCTGACGTGTGCACATTGCGCGGGCGTCGTCTGACCTTGATCAACGCTGACTCGCGCTGCTTGGGTTTGGTACAAGGCTGTGAAGCGCTGCACATTTAGAGGGGGCGTTGTCTATCTGGTCAACATCTAGGGGAGCCGAGAGTCTCACTAGATTTCGGGCATTCAGTGGTTGCTTTCACGAATGTGGCCTTCCTGACAGATTCAGATTGAGCAAAGCTTTGGTTGTAAGCAAAGTAATCAAAGCTACAGCAGGAAGCTGGCATTTTAAAGATCAATGTAATAGTTAATTGGCAATCCACCAACACATGTCCTCAATTAAACTAGCCTCTCTTCGAGGGTTGTAAAGGACGATCGGACTGGACATCCAGACATCGGCTTGGTTAGAAACACCTCTAGATAATCATTGGCTCTGAGCACTTCTAGCTACAAAGTAACAGTCACCGAAATCCAATCACAACCAGAAATTTACTAGCAATTATTTAGTGTGATATTTGGAATATATTTACCACGCCATCATCATCCATTCGCGGCTTTTGAGTTGTAAGGTGATCGGTTAACGTCGGACTGGGTTCAACTCACCATTTGCATTAATGTCTGAACGTAGAGTTGCGCTTGTTCAATTGTGTCAAATCGATTGCGAACAGAGGGATCCACGACAACCATGGTTTCGATCCACAAATGGGACTGAGCTGAAACGATAGGGGCCAAGTCTAAGTGGAATATCAACCCCCTCAGATGATGAATAGCTGGTTTTTAACGGATTAAAGCCTTTTTCCTGGATGCAATGACTCTAACCGGGAACAAGTTCATTTACACATCCCATGGTTTCTGCATCTGACGTAGGTCGCACATGAAAGTGGTGTCAATACAACCCGCGCAAACCAATGCATCCGTTTTTAGTGTGACCGGTTGTGACAGACTTCACACGTTGAGAATCTGGAGTTGTTTTTGGACGTGCTCTCTGATTCTATTTCTCGGTCGGTAGTTCTGCTAATACATCCGTAAATAGACTGCGACGTCCAAACAACAGACGGCCTTCTTGTAACGCCGGGAATAATTAGCTCGGCTGTCGCAACTGAGTGTGTTTAGCCAATTTGGTGAGCGGTTGTTTTTTGTTCGTTTGCCCACATAATTGGAGAAGAAGAATATGCTTCTATAATTTACATTGTTGTATTATATTTGTTATATTATATTATATTATATTATATTATATTATATTATATTATATTATATTATATT